GAGGAACCATTGGCTGGAGTTGAACCAGAGCAAAACCCTCGAAAGCATGGGACCTAAGCCAAGACCCTTCTTGTCCAAATCTAAGCATAGTATTATCTCTCTGAGTTTGTTTCTCCATCTGTAAACAGGGGTTATTAATAGACCTTCCTCCATAGAATTACTCTATTAAATGAGTCAATACACATAAGTTCATGACATAAAATAAGTGGTTAATAGAAGCCAGTTATATTATAAAGAATATAAGTGGACAGGGTCTCTAAAATCCAAGCAGAGAGGATAAAACACCTCTGATACCCTTGCTCCTTAAACTAATCTAGTTTAGGCTTTCTTCCCTGTTTTAGAAAGAACTTGGAAAGGAGCCGTGTCCCCATCTGGCTGGGCAAAGTAGGCTGAGGAACTCACTGTGGGAAGGGTGACAAGTGCAGGCCCAGTCCCTCCCACCAGAGTCTGTGGTCACCGACAAGCTCAGGGGCAGGCCGGCTGGCCACTGGGAGAGCTGCGGAGCCCAGGGTGGGGTCTAGGAGATCTCTAGAAATTCCGATCTTCCCCTGGGACTCTCATCACACCCTCAGAGCTGGGAATGAGATCCAGCTGAGACGCTCCATTTTCGGTAGTTTCCAATTCCAGAGCTACAGAGAAACAAGGATGTCACAAAGTCAGGGCTCTTTGAGAGTTCCAAGAGCATTCAGTTTAATGTTCCTTTTGATGATGGGGAGCCTGAAAGCTCGAGAGGAGAGCGGTCTGTCCCAGGTTACCCGGCCATTCAGAGGCAGAGTCCAGGCTAGACCTCAGGACTTCTAATTCAGGTGGAGATTGCTTTCATCACACTGAGCAGCCTGGTCTGAGCCAGGGGAAGGTGGAGCAGTGGAAGTTAGCTTGGGGTCAGACACACAGAGGGTATGAGATTATAACTAGGAACTGACTCCCTGACCAAGCTCTGTCACTCACAACTGTGAGTCCTCAGGTTATGAGTGTGCTTTCTGCCCCTACACTGAAACATCCATTTCTTGGTGTGCTGTTAGACAAAAAGAAAAAATTAATACCATTATTATTAGTGTTTATTGGCACAGGGTCAGGGACTCTGTTGGGTTCTCTAACAGTTTATCTCATTTAATCCTTAAGCAACCCCAGGAGACAGTATTGCCCGCCTCCCATTTCCTGGATGAGAAAATTGGGTCTCTGAAGAGTTAAACACTTGTCCAAGGTCGTCTAGCTACTGAGCAGCGGAACCAAGACATGAACCCATCAAAGCCTGTGCTCTTGACTATTGAGCCACCCCGCCTCGTGTAGTAACTGTCAAGAGATCTACACAATAAAGTTGCCAAATGGGTGGAAAAAAGGACCAGGGGAGTTCTGTAGACTCACCCGATGGGGTCCCCCAGATGGAAGAGAGGCCTAGGGTGTCACACAGAGCAGGGGGTGCTGTTACTAAGGGGAAACTCGGAGGAAGTGGATACTCCTCTAGAGTGGGCCAACATCCCGCTTCTTCTACATGACTTCCTTTTCACTGTTCTCCACACAGCAGGTGGTCCCCCTTCTCAGGGAAAATCTATCCATCAGCCATTTCTGGAGATCCTTGGCTTCCTGTGGGGCTGCAGATCCATCGACAGCCACCAGAGGGCGGGCCAGCTCTATGGCCAAGTCTAAGGACCCAGGACTCCCCAGGATCTAGCCAAGCGTCCCGCCAGGGAGGCACCTAGTTGCGCGATGGCACAGCCCTCCGTCACCCTTCGCCATCAGCTTTCTCCCTTGGTCCTCAAAACATCTCACCGCAGAAGTTCAACTCACCTCGAAACAAGGTGTCTGGTTCTTATAGGAATAAAGATCTTGTGAGTCACCACCCAAAAGGCAATGGCAACAGGCACCACCACCACAGCCTCTGCTCAGAACTTCGTTTTACCAAGCACTTTCTCATACCTTGCGAGACGGGAGATTCCTCAAAGCCTTATTATGAGCGAGTGGCACGTTCACACTGTACAGATGAGGAAACCGAGGCACCAGGAAGGGGAGTAACTTGCTCAGGGTCACCTGGAGACCTCCGGTCTTCAGACTGCAGACAAAGCTTATCCAATTCCCTGCCTGTCTGGAGGGGGGTGGAGGGGTGCAGACTGCAAACGTGGGTAGGAAGAAACACGGGGTCGAATGTTCTACCAGGAAGACCAAATGCATGGTGGTATTTCCTGTGGCCAGACCAGCCAGCGACCCATCCCCCATCCCCACCATCCCTCCCCAAGCATACTAGGACACTGAGCACCTGCGGAGGACACAAAGGTGGACGGCAGGCCTCTCCCGCCCTCAACAAGCTGGCAGTCTAGTGTGGGGAAAGCGGTGCGTCAGCAGGTAATGACAGGAAGCCGACGCCTGTATGAAGGGACATGGGCAGAGGGGTCCATAAACGTCAGGAGCATATAAATTGGGGTGTCCCCTGGGGCTCCAAGGCCTGAAGAAGAGACCTAGAGCCAAGGACTGTTGGCAGAGGCACCTCTTTCCCTGAAGCTCGCCCCGAGATGGGGGCTCCCCTCCCAGCTCCGGGTGTTGGGAGCCCGGGGTCCCCCCACCCCACCCCAGCCCACCCCTCCCCTCTGAGAGGAGCGCGGGCTCCTCCCGGGAGGGAGCCGATGACAGCACACCTGAGTCAGCCCGCCGCCCACCTGCCCCTCAGCGTCTGTCTACGCATCTTGTGATATTTCGCTCCCCGGGAGCCAGCCCCGCCGCGCTCCGGAGGCAGCTCGGCAAACAAACCCGGCGACAGATTGTGCCGCGGCTCATTCCGGGGAAGGACGCCAAATCCCACCCTGCTACCCCCAACACTCCCTCCCGCCGCCCCCTCCGGGCCTCCTCCCCCTCCGGGCGCGGGCCCTCCCTCCCCCGCGGGGCGGGTCCCGGGAAACGCGGGGCCGGTTCCATCTAGATATGGGGGGGAGAAGGAGCCGAGCCCCAGGGACGCCCCTTTCCGCTCCGGCCCACCCGGTGGGGAGAAGATGGGGGAGGAAGTCAGGTAGCCCAGGACCAGCAGAGCAGGGGCCAGCAGGGGGCGCCCGAGCTCAAGGTGCAAGTGGGCCGGGAGCGCACAGGGCACAGAGATGGAGGGACTGGGAGCCACAAGGACCGAGGGAAGCGCCAGAGCCACGGAGAGACGAGAGAGAGAAAGAGAGAGAGAGGGAGAGGGGGGAGAGGGAGAGAGAGAGAGAGAGAGAGAGAGAGAGAGAGAGAGAGAGAGAGAGAGAGAGGACAGCGAGTGCATAAAGGGAGGAAATGACAGGGAGGGATGGCAGAACAGAGACCATCAACTATGAATAAGGGGGAGGATGGGTGTAGAAAATGAGAGAAAAAAAAAAAAAAACGAATAAGGAGGGAAGAATGGCGCTGTGGATGGCACGGAGAATGAATGGAAAATCAGACCAGCATTTATACAGCGCCGACTGTTTGCCAAGCACCGCGTAGCGTTGAGATGGGAGAGGAGGAGCCAGAGAGAGGCGGCGGGGTGAGGGCTTCCTGGTCTCGGCTCCCGGGAGGGGCCGTCGGGGTTCCCGCACGCAGACGGCTCTGACACCAGCCTTCCTGGCCTCTCCAGCTGCCCCAGCCCAGGGCCGCGCCTGCTGGCCGCGGTCCCTCCGGAAGCGACTCCCTCCAAACCCCGCGCCTGTCCTGCGCCGGGGTGGCCGCTGGGCCGGGTCAAAGCCAGGATGTTTAGCATCGCCGCCTGGGTCAGGAAACGGCCAGCTGCTACCTCTCCGAACGGGGGGAGGGGGCGCATGAGATCGGAACGCACCTCTCTCCAAAGGGAAGAAGCAACTAGCCTGAAGCCAAAGCCCCCCTCCCCACCCTTGAGCGCTCTCCGGGCCCCACGCGGGAGCCGGGGTGTCCCGTTTTGGACACATCATCCAACACACACATCAAAGCGCGCCTACGTGCGCACCCACATTCGCACCCGCTCGCAAACGCACCAGGCACGCGGACACACGGGCCCCGGCCACCCGTCTCCAGGTCCGCTCGCTCGGCCAGGCTCCCGCATGCAGCCTCACGTTTCCCTCCGGCGCGGACTCGCACGCGGGCGGGCGGGCGCGCCACGGCTCCCCGGGAGCACCCTCACGTGCCCGGCTCTCCCCGGGCCCGCGTGTGCACACTCACAGTCACACCTGCGTGCACGCTCCTAGGCACCGACTCTTGCCTGCACTCTTTTCCTCTAGTCTTACCCTCGGGGCTCGGAGCCCAGGAAAAGAAGGGGAACGTGGAGCTCGGAGCGCTCCGGGGGGGGGTGGGGGGGAAGATGTGGAAGGTTTGGACCTTGGCACCGGGGACGCCACGAGGAGGCGGGGAGGGTGACCCGGGAGCCCATCTCCTTCGGAAAAATTAGGGGGGAGGGGGAAACTGGACAAGTCCATGAGGTTCCACACACTAAAGCGCCCCCCCCCGCCCTTCCGCCCCCTCCCCGGGATTTTTCTGGAAGCGAGGCGCCGCGAAGGCTCTGGAGCACGGTCGTCCGGGTACCCCCAAGGAGGGGCGGGGTCCGGGCTGGATGGAGGGGTCTGGCGGGCCGCTCCCGCCTCCTAGTGGCCAGGAAAGGGTTACGTCGGCGAGCCGGGAGGCGAGGGCGGAGCCAGCGAGTGCGGGAAGGAGTGGGGGTGGTTGGGAAGAGCATCCTCGCTGTCCCCACTCTCCCTCGGCTGGCGGCCGGGGCGCACGGACCGGGGCGCACGGACAGCGCTGCTGGGGAGCACCCTCCCCGGGCTCCGGGCTCCGACGGCCAGTTCCGGCCCTCCCCACCCCGCCGCGCCCCGTCCCGTCGGGGCCCATGGCTCCTCCCGAGGCCCGCAGCCCGGGGGGCGCAGGGTAGAGCGCCGCGGCCCGGCCGGCCTCGCTGCCCGGGGACTCCTCCCGGGCCCTCCCGGAACCCCCCTCCCCCCGCGGAGTCCCCGCTGTCCGTCTGGCGGGCTCGGGGAGCGAGTGGGAGAGCCCCCCGCCCCCACCGCCGCCCCCTCTCCGAGCGTCGAGACAAGATGCTGCCCGGGCTCAGGCGCCTGCTGCCAGGTAGGGACCCCTGCCCGCCGGAGGGCGGGGGCCGCCCTGGAGAGGGGAGGGGAGTGGAGCCGGGTGGAGGCGCCCCCGCCCACCGGACTGGGGTGGGGCAGGTGCCGGGTGTGGGGGTAGCCTGGCCAGGGGGAAGCCTGCGCCCCGGCCCCGGCCCCGGCCCCGCCCCCAGGGCTGCCGCTGGCCCGGGGAGCGCACCGGATCGGAGCCCGGAGCCTGCGGGGAGGTGTGGGGAGCTGGTGATGGAGGGTGTGGTGGTAAGAAGGGACGCCGGGGCCGGGCGGGCCGGGCCTGGAGGGGGCAGGGAAGCTCAGGTTCTGCTGTCCCGGCTCCACCTGCTCCCGGGGACGCGGAGGACTGGGGAAGCGCCGACTCAGCAACTCCCGCGCCCGGCGCCTCAGCACTTTGCAGTCACCTGAGAGGACCAGGGCTGTGGGTAGGGGGCTGTCTGTGAGCATGAAGGCGCAGAGGAGGATCCACACGTGCCCCCTGGCAGGACAGATGGTGGGCGCTGGAAAAAGAGAGTTCCACGGATTGATTGACAGCCAAGGGTGTGGGCCAGGGACTGGGGGCGGGGCGGGGAAGGAAGGGGTCGGAGGGAGGCGGATAGAAGGGGGGCCATCACGACGGGGAGAACGTGGTGGTTAGCGAAGGAGGGAGACAGGGTGGAGGAGAAGGAGGAGGAGGAAAGGTTGGAAGGGAAAGGCGTGGAGGGAAGTGGGACCCAGGTCGGGACTGAGGAAGAAGGAAGGAGAAGGTAGACCGGGTTAGGGGAAGGGGTGAGCAGATGACTAGGAACAAGCACCCAGAATCTGAGGACAGGTTCCTGGGAAAGAGTCTGTGACCCTGGAGAGGGGAGTGGGAAGACCAGGAACCAGAGGAGGATGGGGATGGTGGGTAGAGACGTAGCCTCGGGCACGGGGAAGAGGACGGAGGATGGGCGCTGGGGTTGGGGATGGGTAACCATCCACCAGAGAGGGGCTGGGAGTTGGTGCCTGGGTGGGGACGGGAGCTGGGAAGGAAGGAAGGAAGGGGAGGAAGAAGAGAAAGGGGTGGAAGAGAGGGATGGCGTGGGAGTGGGGGTGTTGCCAGGGATGAGACAAAGAGGCTTCTGGTAACCACTTCCACGTGGGAAGCCCTCCATTCCCAGAGCGCCGCCTGCCCGTCGCATCCCTTCTTTCAGGGAGTGGTCAGGGGGCTGGGGGCTCAGGGCTTTGGGGGATGGCCGTGAAGGGAGAGGGGAGGACGTTTGCATGGAGTGGCAGCCTCAGAGGGTGGGCACCCTGGCTGGCTCCATGCTGCCATTTATATCTCTGGACCTCACGTCGGATCCTGCCGCCACCGCCGCTGCCGCCACGGTGACTGCTTATTTTGGGGTGTCACCTTCTGGCAGAGTGAGAAGCCGCTTGCGGCAGCCTAAGCCTCCGAGGCAGCGTCAGTGCCTCCGGAGGCCCCTGCGTCACCACCGGCACTGCCACCACCTCCATCCCGCTCCTCCTGGCTCCCCCTCCCAGCCCCTGCCCCCTCAGCAGCTGCCCTAGGCCCCAGCCTTTTCCCAGCCTGTCCTGCCCGAGGGGAACTGTTGCTTCTCATCCGGGAGCCTAGAACCCTCCTTCACAGTCAGAGGCCTGGGCTTCCCAGGCCACTCTGACCAGCCTCTCTGCCCTGTGGGTTGGTGCCCTGGCTCCTGCCTCTCCCCTGGGTCCCTCTGCTTCCTGTCCCTGGGGCCTCCGAGCCAAAGGGTGGCTCCAGGGGTGAGAACGGTGTTCCTGAGCCTTGGTCCTCCAGGGTGATGGCCCAGATTCCTTGACAGTGGTCCCTCAATGAATGGATCCTTTTTTGGCTCTGGGCACCTCAGCCTTCTGGGATCGATACCGTGTCCTGGCCTCTCTCCATCCCTCCTCTGGTCAGTGCTGGCCGAATCTTCGGAGCACTAGTCATCTCTCCTTGACTCCCAGCGGCCTCCCCGCTGGAGCAGCCCTGACCTGGAGCCCAGGAGAGGAAAGTGGCAGAGAGAGCCTGGTGCCCTCTTTGCCTTGACCCTGAGCGGCCCCACAGATCCGGGACCATGGCTGGCCCAGCCCTGCGCACCTGGGCGCAACCTGTGTCCTCCTGCTCTCTCCAGGGCAGCGTCTCTCGAACTCAGAGCGGTCTCTTTGGGTGCCATGAGGTCTCTCTTTGTCCATTCTGGGTCCCACCTGTACCAGCTGCGTAGCCTGAGGCAACTTACTCCACGTCTCTGAGGCCCCCCCTCTCTCTTCTGCAAACTGGGGCCATTGTATGGCTCTCCCAGGGCTTAGGTTGCATTCTATGTGCACAAAGACATGCGCGAACAGTGTCTGGCACACAGTAGGTGCTTAGTAACAGATAGTTTCTGCCTGTCCCTGCTCTACACACACACACCCCTGCAACATTACTGTTACCTGCAGACTTTAGAAAAAAAAGGACAAAAGAGAGGAAGGGATGAGCAGAGAGAGCGGGGACACTTAGAAGGGGCTTTCCTAAGCCCATCGAGGAGGGGGTAGGAGGAGGGGGAGGTGACATGAAGGCTTCGAGAAAGGAAGTGAAGCCAGACCGTCAGCCATTCCGCTCAGAAGCTGAGCCTTCCCCTCCCAGGCCTTCAGTGGTGTTACCTGGGCAGTCAGAGCTTTGCGCTGATGGCCACTGAGACGCCCCCGTCCAGCTCTGATGCCCTGTGCATCTTGCCCCGGTCTTTGTCAGGGATTCGCCCTCCTGAGGGCTGGGAGTGGAACTGTGGTTCTGGAGAGAGAGAGAGAGGAGGCCCCAGGCCTGGGGGGAAGGACGGATGGGGAGAGGACCGTGGTGAGAGGAAAAGGGCAGGGACAGGAGGGCAGAGGAGGGAGAGAAAGGCACAGCTCCCCGCCCGCGTCCCCCCACCCTCAGCCCAGGAGCGCTCCAGCCATGCCTGGGGGCAGAGAAACCAGTGCCTCCCACCTCCCCCTCCTCCGAGCCTCCAGTGAGAGCTGCAGCCTGAATTATGGATGAGGCTCCTTGGGTTACAGCTGCTTTGCATGGCGGCGATGGCCAGAAATGGCAACAGAGTCACTGTTACGCAGCAGCTGTCATGGAGGGGCCCTGCTCGGGCGTGGGGAGGTGGGCCACCATGGGAGAGACATGGGGGCGCGGGGGAGGGTGGGGGAAAGAAGGAAGGAGCCCCTTATGTGGGCTAGTGGGGGCCACAGAGCTGTGGGGAGAGGGATGCCGGCTCCCCCTGAGCGGCTGAGCTCAGACTCCCGCTGGAAGAGACCCTGGTGCCACACGGAGGCCCCTGACTCCGGAGCACTGCTCCAGATTGCACATCCTCCCCTCTGTTTCTCTTGGGGTACCAGTCAGCCCTAGAGGCCGGGGGAGAGCAGCCCTCCCTGGGACTGGCAGCCTTCAGGGCTCACACTCTCATGAGCTTGTGGAGAAGGGGTGGGATTAAGAGATCAGAGGAGGATTTGGCTTTCTCTGGTGTCAAGTCTTTGGGGAAGCGAGCTCGGAGGGTGCCTCTGCCAGGAAGGAAAGTGCCCTGGCCAAGCATAAGGAGATCCTTTTCTTGCCCTGCCAACCACTGTGCTGTGTGACCTTGGGCAAATCGCTTGCCCTCTCTGAACCCTATGTGTGACTTCAGTAGGACAAGCCCTTGAACCAGGTGGACTGGAGAACTTTTCCAGCGCTGACATCTCCCCAGTTCTAGCCCCAAGTCTCAGCCCTGCCGAAGCCCACTGAGATTCCCTGTCCTCGCCCACATCCCACCCATGCCAGGTTCTGCTGAGGGGTGAGAGACACGCTCTCCCCCAACCCCCCACGTGGCTCTGAAACACTCAGGAGAAAGTCATCGTGAACTGCCGCACGGGGGAGGGGTGAGAAGGGCCGAGAAACGCGGAGGTGGTGTGAACGCATAGCACAGACGCGCTGTGTCACTGAATGTTACATCACACCCAGCCTACACACGCACGGGGCCGGCGCGCGGCACTCGCACACGCGTGGGGACAGCCCGCACATGCAGGGGGGACCGAGGATCCTCGTGGTGAGGCCCCACATGTGAGCGGGAGCATACCATCGGCACGGGGCTCCCCACCCTGGCTGTGGGTCCCCCGTGGGAGGAAGCTCACGGGCCACCCATCATGGCCACGCCTCTCAGACACCCCGGCCCCACAGCTCTCCGGGCAGTGTGCACCAGGCTCAGACACAGACATCCACACACAGCAGCCGGCATCACGTGCGGTCATGCACCCCTCAGTCTTCCCAGGATCTCTGACCCCCAGGGAGCCCTGCAAGGAGGTCCTGGGTCCAAGGCCCACTCGTCCTCCCCTCGGCCTGAGATTCACAGAGATCTCGATTTAGCCCCAGCCGGTCTCAGCTGGGGGCGATGTTGCTCCCCAGAAGACATTTGGTAATGTCTGGAGACATTTGGTTGTCATAATCAGGGGGAAGGTGTGACTGGCATCTAGTGGGTAGAGGACAGGGATGCTGCTAAACACCCTAAATAGGACTGTCCCCCACCACAAACAGCAGTCGGCTCAACTCTCAACACCAAAGTTCAGGGGCCTGACAGTTAACACAGTCAAACCCAGAGCGGTGACAAGAAGGAAAAGACCACCACTCGCCAACCAGCCTGCAGCATTTCCAGTGTCCTCTCGGCATTTCTTTATTTCTTTATTGTTTTGTTAATATACCAGGGGTCTCAAAAAGTGGAAGTGGCCGAAACTGGTTTGGCTCAGTGGATAGAGCGGCAGCCTGTGGACTGAAGGGTCCCAGGTCCCATTCCGGTCAAGGGCATGTGCCTTGTGTGCGGGCACATCCCCGGAAGAGGGTGTGCAGGAGGCAGCTGATTGATGATTCTCCCTCATCAATGTTTCTAACTCTCAATCTCTCTCTCTTCCTCTCTGTAAAAAAAAAAAAAATCAATAATATATATATATATATATATATATATATATATATATATATATATATATTTTAAAAAGTGGAAGTGGCCAGGGCCTCTTGTAATTAGGTTGTTTGCACCCAGAACCCTCCCACCTAGGAGCCAGGCTCCTGGCTATGGGGGGAAGGGGGTCTTCTGGTCATGGGGGGATGTAGAGGGGGTGGGCAGGCCCCTGGCGGGCACTCTTGCCCTTGCAGCCTGCCCAGAAAGGCCTGCCCCCTGTCCCCACAGGTCCCGCCTCAGCCTGCCTCCTGCTGCTGCTCCTGGCCCTGCCCCCAGCAGCCCCCAGCTGCCCCATGCTCTGTACCTGCTACTCGTCCCCGCCCACCGTGAGCTGCCAGGCCAACAACTTCTCCTCGGTGCCGCTGTCCCTGCCGCCCCGCACCCAGCGCCTCTTCCTCCAGAACAACCTCATCCGCACGCTGCGGCCGGGCACCTTCGGGCCCAACCTGCTCACGCTGTGGCTCTTCTCCAACAACCTCTCCGCCATCTACCCGGGCACCTTCCGGCACCTGCAGGCCCTGGAGGAGCTGGACCTCGGCGACAACCGGCACCTGCGCTCCCTGGAGCCCGACACCTTCCAGGGCCTGGAGCGGCTGCAGTCGCTGCACCTGTACCGCTGCCAGCTCAGCAGCCTGCCCGCCAACATCTTCCGCGGCCTGGTCAGCCTGCAGTACCTCTACCTCCAGGAGAACAGCCTGCTCCACCTCCAGGTGAGCCACCCGCCCAGGCGCAGGCCCCTGCACACACCACCCTCCTGCTCTCCCCTCGCTCCTCTGCCCCTGTGTGTGCCCCTTGGCTCTCCCCAGCCCGCCCTTCCTGCCTCAGCATCTCAGCATCCCTCTCCATGTCTGTCTCTTTCCTAAGGGCGTCCCTCTCGTGTTCTCCAGGGGCTTTCCTCCATTTGGTCTGTCTGTCTGTCGGTCTGTCTATGCCTGTTTGGTTCCCTGCTGCCCTTCTCACTCCCTTATCTCCTCCCCCCCACCTCCCCACTATGTGTCCCCTTCTGCCTCTTCCTGTCTTGTCTGTTTATCCCTCTCTATCCCTCTCTGCCTCTCTCACTGACTTGCCTCCCCGCTCTGTCTTCTGGTCTTCTGTCTTCCCTTCACACACACACTCCATGTGCACCCATACATGGTTGATGTATGCGTCTTTCTGTGATCTCTCTCTTCCCCTTTGTTTGCCTTCAGAGGCTCTGTCTTCGTTTGCCTGAAGGCCTCTGTAGCTGCTTTCTCTCCATCCCTCCCCCTCCCACTGCCACTGGTGTCCCAGAGAAGGTCCCACCTCTCTCCAGTACCCTAGCTAGTGGGACAAAAAAAAAAAACCCTAGTCTTTCTAGATCCCCATCCCCAACCTGCCTTCTCAATGAAAGGGAAGAAGGAAGGGAAAAAAAGCGTAAAGAGCTGTTAAGTAGCTGGAAGATGGATGCTCTGAAAACGGAAGGAATAACAGTAATTGCTATTTATTGTTATTATTATTGATCTAACTATTGTTTATTGTTGTTATTAAGCTGACTGTCTGACAGTCAAATCCTCCCATTCTATTTCCCCAGGAAGCAATAACACACCCTCCAAACCACCCTCCCCGGGCTCCACAGCCTCAGGCTGGCAGGGGGCTGGAATATCCAAACCCTCCCTTCCCCCACATAGTTGGAAGGCATGCCCCCTCCCACCTAGTGGTGCTGATTTGAAAATCAGGTCAAGGTTTATGCTGATAAAGATAGTAACAATGGCAATAATCATTTAACCAACATGTATTGTGTACCCACTATGTGCAAGGCGCTGAGAATACAGCAGTTCACAAAACAGACAAAGCCCCCTGCCTTCACCGAGATAGCACTCTACGTGGTGGAGAGAAACAGAAGTAGTGATATATGATAGCCCTTCTCATATCTATGGGAGCTCCGGTCCAAGACCCCATGGATGCCGGACATCTCAGATAATAACGGAACCTTATATGTACTATGTACACACACACTTATGTTTATAAAATAGGCACAAAAAGAGGTTAACAACAATAACTAATAATAAAACAGAACAAGTATAACAATAGACTGTAATAAAAGTTAAGTGCATGGCTTTGGGGCCATAATTAAGGAAAATAGAGGGGCTTAAATGCGGGCACTGTGGGACCCCCACACATGATCTGATAGCTCAGGTGGCTGCTAAGTGTCTAACAGGCAGAGAGCGCATGCAGCACGGAGACGCTGGACAAAGGGATGATGGCTCACATGTGGGTGGGATGGCTTCGAGATTTCTCCACGCTGGATAGAGCAGCATGCAACTTAAAACTTATGAATTATTTGTTTCTGGAATTTCCTACGTAATCTTTTTGGACCATGGTTAACTGCAGGTTACTGAAACCACAGGAAACAAAACCGTGAAGGGGTGGCGGGGGCTGCTGTACATAGGATGCTGGAAAAATATGTCGTGTTGTTATGATTGCATCAATAATGGTAATAGTACCCACTACCACTTAGTGGGCACGCTCTGCATGGGGCGCTAGGCTAAGGCCTTTGTGGGTATCAACTCTGCCATGTACGAGCGTGTCACATTTTTCAATCCCCCTGGGCCTCAGTTTTTCCGTTTGTACATTGGGGGTAGCACCAGCCCATCTCCTAGGGATTTTGTAAGTGTAAGTGCATGAATAATTTGTAGAGCACTTAGAATAGTGTTTGGCGTGCGATACGCACTATATAAATGCTTGTTAAAATACTATTTTAAAAAAGAGGCAAGCCTCATTTAACATGGATCTCAGGGAAAATGGCCCATCTTGGACCTCATCTCAGAGATCTGGGTCAACTTCAAGGGTGATGTCCAGGTCATGGGTGGATCCTAGAAAACTCCCTCTTTTCTCTCCTTCCTACCTTTGCCTGGCACCTCACCGTTTCCAAAGCACGCCCAGCCACCTCATCTCATTTCCACAGCCCCATCAGGAGATGCTCACACCTCCCCCCAGAGGAGGGAACTGAAGCCCAGGGTCCTAAGACTTTGTAGATATCAGGCCTCTTCACAGGAAGTCTCTCAAACCGTTGCCCATGCGCCTGGGGGCTCACATGTTCTCAGCAGCATGCTTAACCTCACAAAAGCCTGGCAACAGAGATAGCTAGGGTCAGAGGGCCTGAGCTGGAATCCCTGCTCGGTGGTTTCCTGACTTATGTAACTGAAGGCATGATGCCTCTCCTCTCTGAGCCTCAGTTTCCTTGTCTTTAAAGTGGAAATAATTTTTTTTTAAAAAAAGCATCCTTTCCATAAAGAACGGCTATGCATAGGAAATGAGTTGTGTAGATACAGCACACAGTTCAGTGGCCGAACAAATCCTGTCATTAGAACAGGTCCTCCATGGACTCCCTGAAACAGGAAGTTGGTTCTACACACCCCTGGCCTGAATGGTATGGCATCTCCACACCAGGTCCTTTGTAGAGAAAGAAAGAAAGAGTCAACCTCTGCCTGTGAGCCGCCTGGAGGAACCAGGCTGGGAGATGCCCCCAGTGGGGAGGAAACCTGGGCTGGGGTGATGTCCACAGGATGCAGGTGTGAGCCGAGACAGGGCTGGGCCTGCCCCCAGAGAGGAGCTTTGGAGGAGGCAAGAGGACCACAGCTTGTAACGGTTAGGAAGGCAGAGATGGAAATGGGGTGGGCTGGAGGCTCTCACAGTCTGTCTTCTGTGTGCCAGATACTATGCCAGGTGAGTTCATTCATCAACAGATATGTATTGAGTGCCTACTGCATGCCGGGCAGTGTTCTGGGTGCCAGGCACCCAGGGGTGAAGAAAAACAGTCTCTTTGCTCTCCTGGAGTGTATTTCCTCCTCGAGGGGAACCAGAACCTTTCACTCATTCACCAGCCTGCGTGGTGTATAAGAGCAGTCTTTGTGCTCGGGCACATCTGAGTTTGAATGCCAGCCCCACCTCCACTTGGCTCTGTGGCTTTGGGCAAGTTACCTCAGCACTGGAAGCCTGCATGGCCCCATCTGTAACATGGGGAGGAGGCCCTGAGCCTCAGGGTTTGTTGTGAGGGTTTCAAGGAGATGCTACTTGAAGAGGGCTCAGCAATGTGTCTCATTCAGTGTAAGTGTAACCCGGCCACCTGTCACTACTTGAGCCAATTCAGCAGAGACGTGGTTGAATCGTTTAGGAGCGTTTATTCCAATACTGCTGGCAGTCTGGGAGAGCAGCAGGTCATCCACAAAAATCTGCTCTTCCCTCCCCATAAGCCAGCTGCTTATATTGGGCAGAATGGCAAAGATTATGTGGGAAAGTACGAATTCCAGGCCTGGGGAAGTAGGCAGGTTACAGGCAGTGCGGGCTTGGACAGGGGGAGAGGGGAATTGTAAAGGGCAGGCACCTCCAGGTCCAGACTGTTTCCGTCATGAGGCTGTAGGCAGCTCTTGGGAAAGGAGGACGGACTTCATTCCAATGTTAGTTCCCATGTCCCAGGGTGTGAAACTGTCAGCCAGGTGAGAATGTGCTTTCTCTAATCAGAACAGAACAACCACGGTTAACAGGGCATGATTGCTATTTCTCATAATCATAGCTAGTCCCCAATATTCTATTTCTGCCCCTAACATAAGCATCATTTCCCCCCGTCCCCCTTTGACTGCTAAGGACACTGAGGCTCAGTGAAGTTAAGGCACCAGCCCAAGGTCACCCAATTAGCAAAGGGCTCAGCCTAGCATTGGCCCAGGTCTGTATGACTCAAGTGTAACCATTCAGAATCCTGTCTCCAGAGTTCACGTCCACATTCTGCTACATATTAGCTGTTGATACCTAGGCTTGCCCTCTCCCAGCCTCCCTTTCCTAATCTCTGAAAGGGGAGATAATAGCATCTGCTTCACGGGGTTGTGATGATCAGGTTGCTACAGGAGACGTGTGTAGCACAGAGCTCGGCCCATAGTTAAAGCTCAGTAAGTCACCTGCTTGCCTATGCTGACGCAGACCATGACAATGACACCAGGCATAGATTGGTGATCTCTGTGAGTGAGGGGGAGGTGGGGGAGGGGCCTGGCACAGAGTAGGCACTCAATACCGCTTTGTTGAATGAATGAGGTACATTCCAGGATTCACTCACTCATAAATATCCAATGAGGATGGATCTGAATGATCAACACTCTCAAGTCCCTTATCTCACAGATACTAGGTAGTAAAAAGACGGAGACTCAGAGAGGTACCTGGAGCTGCCCAAGGTCACACAGCTCAGCCACTGGTGCCAAAGACTGGAGCTTGGGAGGGCTGGGAGGAGGCAAGATTAAGAGCAGGATGCTGTCCAGAGGAGAAGGGGGGCAGGGAGGCTGCGTTGAGATTCCATATGGATGTGGAGAGCTGTGAACTGGCTGGGGGAGGTGAGGGAAATGTGGTTTTGGAAATGGAAGAAGATGACTTTAGCAGCCACTCTCAGCCCAGAAGGAGGGGGCGATGGAGGGCGGGGGTAGTGGGGGAGGGCGAGGGCTGTGAAAGTCAAGAGCTTATTAATGCACAGAGAAGGTTTTAACGGTGAAGAGAGGACTGGATTTGAGAGCAGCAGCCCAGGAAGTGGCAGCGGGATTTGGCAACAGCTTGGATGGGGGAAGGGGAAATGGGCCCCCAAGCTGAGGTTCAGAGAGGGAAGGGGCAGGACTTTTGCAGAGGGTAAAGTGGGGAGGAGAGGAGGGTAGCATCAAGGAATTTTGTAGTCCAAAAATTGGAGCTGTGAACCAAAGGCGCGGCAATTCCCTAGGGGCTCTGAACCTTGGGTCTTCTCTTCCTAACCCTCCCTGTGCTCCCTCAACTCCTCCCCCTGCCCCCCACGAATCCTCTCACAGCCATCTCTGAGGGTGTCCCACTCTTAATGGCACCCATAAAAAAGAGAACCCCTAGCTAGGTGTTTGAATAGAAGGAACTCAGAGCCCACTCTAAGGCAGGACCGGGAAGAGGACACGGGTACCAAGCCCCATGGGGGCCCGGCCAAGGCCCCGGAGGTCCAGGGAGCCCTCCGGAGACCTGGACTGAGCCTGAGGGTGGCACAGGGAGCGGAGAATGCTGGTGTCAGAGGCAGCCGGGAAGGTTGAGGGGGACGGATCTCAATGTGGCCAAGAGGAGGGATCTTGGCAGGCTCAGTTCCTGCAGCGGAGAGGGCGGAAGCCAGATGGGAGGGGGCGAGAACACGCAGGAGCACAGGAAGGTGGAGGCTGTGGGTGTGGGCTGGGAGTCAGTGCCCTGCCCCCGCCTGAGAGCCTTTGACCAGTTTCCTGGTGGGGTAGGGGAGTCATTTCCCGAGACAGGGAAGGGTGGGAGAGCCACCGTCGGGAAACAGGTCCCCCAGGGCGCGCTAGCTTGAGCATAGAGGATGCCTGTGTCCCTAAGAACCAGACCTGCTGGGCCTGCTGACCACAGTGGTGGCCTGCACCACTGAGGGAGGAGGGCCTCAGTCGTGGGGCTCTGGACCCCTCTGGCAAACCCTCCACCTCTCTGGGCCTCAGTGCTCTTCTCTGTAACAAGTGTGCTGGGCTGGTAGACTCTGGAGCTGATCATCCCCTTTGTGAGCTGGTTAAAATGCAGAATCCAGACCCTGGGCTCTCCCATGCCCACACCCTCCCCCATGCCCACACCTCCTTCACTCTGAACCACAGTCCAAGATGAGCAGGGCCTGATTTGGGCACTGCCCAGCCCCGGACAAGTGGGACAGCCCTTCTAAGCGGGCAATGAGGTAGGACATCAGACAGCAGCCTTCTTTCCCCTCCCTGGCTGCCTTTGGGGGTGGGGATGCAGGGGGGAGGGGGGAGGACACCTGGTCCCCTTCATATCTTGGCCTAACAGCAGGACTTTGGGACCTCGGGGAGCCACTCTGGTCATAATAACCATTATTTCTTTTTAAAAAATATATATATTTTATTGATTTTTCACAGAGGGGAAGAGAGAGGGACAGAGAGTTAGAAACATTGATCAGCTGCCTCCTGCACATCCCCCACCAGAGATGTTTCCACAACCAAGGTACGTGTCCTTGACCGGAATCGAACCCGGGACCCTTCAGTTCACAGGCCGACGCTCTATCCACTGAGCCAAACCGGTTTCGGCATAACCATCATTTCTTTCTTTTTTTTTTTTTTTAATATATTTTATTGATTTTTTACAGAGAGGAAGGGAAAGAGATAGAGAGTTAGAAACATCAATGAGAGAGAGTCATCGATCAGCTGCCTCTCGCACACCCCCCCACTGGGGATATGCCCACAACCAAGGTACATGCCCCTGACCGGAATCGAACCCGGGACCTTTCAGTCCCCAAGCCGACGCTCTATCCACTGAGCCAAACCGGTTTCGGCATAACCATCATTTCTTGAGGGTGGTAGTGTTCCCCACCAGGTCCTTAGAGCATGATCTCATCTCACCCTCCCCCAGCCTGCTGAGTATTCTCCAAGTTATACAGAGGGAGGCCACGGAGGCTCTAGGAGGCTAAAGAATGTGCCCACGGTAATGCAGCTGGGAAGAGGGTACGCTGAACGGGTATCAGGGGCTGTGATTCCTGAGCCCACGGGCTTCATCCTTGGACTGGATGCCGGTGTGCCCGGCACTGTGCCCGGCTCTTCACCATCTGATCTTTATTGGATCGTCTTCTTTAATCCTCAGATCAAGCCCACGGGGAGGTACTCTCCCTCATCCCCATTCCATCGATGAGGCGACAGGCTTAGAGAGATTACTGGCTTGGCCAAGTTAAAGATAATGGCCAAGTCCTAGAATGCCTTCCACGTGGGAAGCTCGTTCTAAGCGCCTTAAGCCCTGTTGCTTCACTTAATCTCCACATCTTGAGGTGTAGAGATACCGTGACTTGCCCAAGGTGGCACAGCCAGCTAAAATACACCCGGGGTTTGAAGTGGGGAAATCATCAGGCTTCTCCCTCTGCACGATGAATCAGTATCTTCTCCACGAGTGTGGTTCCCAGATCAGCAGAGGCAGCACCTCATGGGAACTTGGAGACAGGAAGATCCTCCGGCCCCATCTGCTAAGTCACAAACTCTGAGGCCAGCGCTCCGGGATCCCCAGGGATTCTGATGGTCCCTCAAGTTTAAGGACCATTGGCCTCCCTTTTGTCCTCTGTCTAAGTTAGAGAAGGGAGGATTCAAACCCAGGACTCCGAAAGGAAAAGTCAGATTGCTTCCCACGGTGCCCCCCCCCCCCGCCGCCGCCGCCGACACACACACACACACACACACACACACACACACACACACACACACACCTGCAGGCCATGAGGGAGAAACCTCCACCTGTCTCAGGCCCTCTCTCTTCTCCCCCCCTCCTCTCCCAGGATGACCTGTTCGCAGACCTGGCCAACCTGAGCCACCTCTTCCTGCACGGGAACCGCCTGCGGCTGCTGACGGAGCACGTGTTCCGCGGCCTGGGCGGCCTGGACCGGCTGCTGCTGCACGGGAACCGGCTGCAGGGCGTGCACCGCGCGGCCTTCCGCGGCCTCAGCCGCCTCACCATCCTCTACCTGTTCAACAACAGCCTGGCCTCGCTGCCCGGCGAGGCGCTGGCCGACCTGCCGGCGCTCGAGTTCCTGCGGCTCAACGCCAACCCCTGGGCGTGCGACTGCCGCGCGCGGCCGCTCTGGGCCTGGTTCCAGCGCGCGCGCGTGTCCAGCTCGGACGTGCCGTGCGCCACGCCCCCCGAGCGCCAGGGCCGGGACCTGCGCGCGCTCCGCGAGGCCGACTTCCAGGCCTGCCCGCCCGCCGCGCCCACGCGGCCCGGCAGCCGCGCCCGCGGCAACAGCTCCTCCTCCAACCACCTGTACGGCGTGGCCGAGGCCGGCGCGCCGCCCGCCGACCCCTCCACCCTCTACCGAGACCTGCCCGCCGAGGACCCGCGGGGCCGCCAGGGCGGGGACGCGCCCACCGAGGACGACTACTGGGGCGGCTACGGGGGCGAGGACCAGCGCGGGGAGCAGACGTGCCCCGGCGCGGCCTGCCAGGCGGCCCCGGACTCCCGGGGGCCCGCGCTCTCGGCCGGGCTCCCCGCGCCTCTGCTCTGCCTCCTGCTCCTGGCGCCCCAGCACCTCTGACTGCGGGGCTGGGACTGCGGAGGAGGCCGGGCTGGTCCCCCTCCAGCCCCCCAGCTGCAGCTCTGGCCCAATCCCCGCCCCTGGCCTCGCTGCCTCCATCCCCCATCCTCCCCCTCCCCTGCTCCGCCCTCCTCGGGGACCAGGCCGCCTCTCCCTGCCTCCTGGGATGCCGACTTAAGACTATCCCCAGGGGCTATGTCTGGTGGTGGCTCAGCCCGATGATGATTCTCCCCAACTCTGGCCACTAACTCGGTCCCATCCCAGTTAGGGGTGGGGCATCCCAGGCAGGCAGGCGCTGACCCCTTCTCGCAATGTCCACCCGCGGACTCGAGAGGAACCTTTGCAGAGCATCTTCCACCAGCAGAGCCTTCAGAAGCTCCGGAAGGGAGCGCACCCAGGAGCCCTGCGGAGGGATGCAACCCGGCGGGGCCAGGCTGACCCTGGGCCGCCGCTTCTCGAGCCCCTCTCCTCTCCTCCCGACACGGGAGGAATACTTTTCTCCTACGTCTACCGGGACACTTTTTAGAGTGCCTAGAGAGAACTTTCCTCTCCGCCGCGGCACCCCTGTGTGGTGAAGATCAACACAAGTTGTTTGGGGGGGAAATTTATTAAAAATTCTATTATTTTATCTCTTTCTGAAAGGTTTGTTGGCTCGGGACCTCACACGTGGGAGGAGGGCGAGGAACCACCAGGATTTCAGGGCGAGGAGGATTAGAGAAGGGGTGGAGGAGCGCTCCATTGTGCCCCCCTAGGAGAAGAGGCTGCCCCTGAGGAAGAGGGGTGTGGCCTGGAGTCCCAGGCCGGCCAAGATGGGGGCTGACAGCCCCTCAGCTCTCCATTTGTCCAGGAGAAGCGGCTCCAGCCGACCCTGACTTGTGTGGTGCCCAAGGAGCTGAGCCTGGGCAAGGCCTCCAGCCTGGCTGACTCCCTCCCAGTTCCCACCTTCTCCTTGCAAGGAGGAATCAGCTGTCCATGGTCACAGCCAGCAAAAACACGGCTTTGAGCGGATCCGAAAAAGACACCTCTTCCACAGGGGAATCCAGCCCTACACCAGACCAAACGCTCAGCAAGCTGAGCCTCAGGCTGGATTTCAGCTCCCACATGCCCCTCTGCTGCATGCCTGTGCCTGCACACGGGTACACAGCCCTGCAGCCAGCCATTCCCTGGCTCCTGGGACTGTATTGGAGAACCAGCTCTCCGGGTCCCAGGAGAAACCAAGGGGCTGGGTGACCAGAGAAACAAGAATCCTATGTTGGGGTGCCTTGCTGGATTGAAGCATGATCAGAAGCTCCATCTGCCCAGTGTGGGGAGGAGAGGCTGGAGGAAGGGAAGAGCCTGGGCTAAGAGGGACCTATGATGGAGGTGAGACTCATCAGACAGAAGCATGAGGAGATAGATGTTCGATGGTTTAAATTTAGGGTTAAGAATCTAACTTAGGACGTGGGGATGGAAAGAGAGGATCTGGATGCCAGGGTTCATGGAGGAAGAATGCTGAGATTCTGTGACTCTGGCCAGGCAAGTCAGAAGGAAGATGAGATGAGCCGAGGTGGCAGAAACAGGAAGGGGTCAACATGTAAGGCCTGAGGCAGGTGGACGGGGAAAGGGTGTGGGACGAGGGTGGGGGTAATGAGAGCAGCCAGCTAGTCAGGAAGCAGGGGGTCTCTGAGGCTGGGATCCCACAGGGGCCTGTGTCAGGCTGGCTTTACAGAGGCTAATGTGGGAAGGGATGGGAGGGGGACGCAGCCAGGCAAGAGCTCTGATGGAGGAGGGGCTGCCAGGGCCTGGGCAGGGGAAGGGGGAGGATGCTGGTAAATCAGCAGCAGGCTGTCCAGGTCACAGAATTATCGTTGTGAAATATTCATGGGCCTTCGGTCCAGATGCTATTTCAGAACAGTGAAAGCAAGAGGAGTGTGTGAGCCTCAGGAAGAAGCCTACAGCGATGCCGCTCTCCCCACCCTCACCCCCGCCCGCCCAGACAGACCCACGGACGCCCATCATGTGCCCTCCCACGCTCGCACGCTCTCGCACACACATTCCCACAGAGCGGAGCTACAGAACATGTGCAGGCATGCCAACACCCACGGGTCCCACAAAGGGCAGATGCACCCCCAATACTGGCATGCACACAGCCGCTCAAACAGACCACCCACAAAGGCCCCACACTCACAGACCCTCCAGCCTCTCCAAACCTCCAGATTCAGTCCCTTCACACACCCTGAAACGGGAGCGACTGTAACGGCCATCCAGTCCAATGCTCTGATGGGGAAACTGAGGCCCAGAGAGAAGGGACTTGTCCAAGACTCCACAGCATAAAAGAAACAGAACGCATTCACCTCCCCCATTCTGTGGATGTGCCCACATTCTGTGTTCTCCTGCCTTCCTGACACCCAGCCTACATGGAGTTATCTCCTGCCTTCTCTAATCTCTTATATCGCCTTACCCGGTCCCTCTGCAGCCCCAGTCTATCCCTCCCTTTCTATTCTCCCAGCCACCGCCCTGCTCCATCTCTTCATTACCTCATGCCTAGAAATGCAGGAGAAAATAGCAGCAACCTCCTCTCCAGTTTTCCTACATTCAGTCTCTCTCTCCCTCCCACCAGCCTGCCATGGTGGCCAGATCCAGGCTCACTGAAATGTGCATTATGTCCCTGTGTCGCTCAAGAACCTACAATGACTCCCTATTGCCTACAGGTTGAAGGTAAAACACCTTAGCAAAGCATCCAGGATCCTTCGGAGTCTGGTACCAGTAGCCTTTCTAGTTTTGTCTCATGGCCATGTCCCAAACCTCCAGCTAGAATGATTGCGTCATGTTTGGCCATCAGTTATTATGCACTTGAGACCTATAACTGACCTTGAACTCCCCTTTAGGTCCCTCAATCTCCCTCAAAGTAGGAACCCTCTCTCACTCTCCTCGGGCGCCCACTCCAAAGCCCTTCCCCAAGGCCAAAGCGGCCCCTCTCTAACCTTATCCATAGGAATTCTTTTACTGTCCTTCAAAGCTGCAGGTACAGGCTCTGGCTCAGGCTGCCTCCAAGCAGATGGCTGCCTCCTACTGGCCACTGGGGGAATCACAGCCAGGCTTCAGTATCCTGAACTGAGGGTGAGCATCCATCTATCTGGGGAGAGGAATAGAAGGCCGCCAGATGACAAGCTTTATAAGCCCTTAAGCTTCTAAGGTTCTTACACAGAGAGTGGGAGCAGGGTTCTCCGAGCTGCTTTCTGAGCTGCTGGCTCCTGAGTGGAGTCCGTGATCCATGAGAGAACCCCCTTCTGGGGAATACAAAGACTTGGGGCTCCCAGGCCCCCCTGCTGAAGGGAAATTCGGCCATCAGGCTCTGGGAGAACACCAGGGACAGTCCAGGTGGCAGGCCCAAGGTCCAGCGGGGGTCAAGTTTCCGCATGAATTTTTAATGCTTCCAGCCAGACCTGTCAGATGTTCCGAAACCTGAGCATCTCCTTTCATCTCTGGTCATGATGCCCTTCCCAATCCACTGCCCCTGGGGGAGGGGCAGGAGGGCAGGAGGGCAGGTCTGGGACAGCTTACCCAGCAGCCTCTGCAGGCAGGATTCTGGGCAAGCAAAAGGGTGACTAACCTAGTTATTCCCCCACTTACTGTGTGACCTTGGGGGAGTTACTTAACCACTCTGAGCATCCCTTGTGTTTCCTGTTTTCTTGTGCTCTTCTATAATTTGTAACCTGGGAGCCATAGTGCCTGTCTAAATCGGGTTGCTGTGTTAAGTAAGTATATAGCCCATGGAAAGGTGACCTACATGTTCGATGTTATTATCTTTCCTCCCACCTCCCTCCTCCTGAGTTTTTCCAACCCCAGAGTGCCTCTACCTCTTTCCTTTGGCGGGGGGTGGGGGGAGAGCTTGGTTGGCTCTGCCATTCCCTGCTAAGATCCAAACTGCCCACCCCAGGACCCTTTGGCCTTGCTAGAAATTTTGGGTGAGGAGGAGGAAGGGAAGAGAAGAGAGGCAAGGCCGGGGGCGTGAGAGAAAGATGGCCGAGGGGAGGGAAGCAGGCAGCAGACAGTGGAAGGGCAAGACCCTGCTCGGAGAAACAAGAGCTAGGTGCAGACTCTCTCTCCTCCTCCTCTTCTTCCTCCTCCTCCCTCCCTTCTCTTCCCTCCCTTCCCGCCTTCCTGGCGACTTCTCCACACCTGGTCCTATCAGGGAGCAGAAAAGATGGCCACACTGAGCAGCGGTGAGGCCAGGAGCACGGTGGAAGGACGGGGAGAGGCGGGCAGGGCTGTGGAAGGAAGCATGCTGCGTCTTTCCAGCCCACGGGTTCCCTGCGCCGTGTTTCTAAGCCTCGGAATCCAAGGGCTTTTACATCACACTTGGGTCGGAAGCTGCTAAATGCAGATTCCTGAGCCCTCAGACCCGCCCAGCCAGACCTCCAAGAGGCCCTGGAATCTGCATTTCAACAAGCCGGGTGGGTTCCGAAGTGCTCCAAAGGCTGAGAAACACTTCCTTAAGTGTGGGTGGTCGGTGGGCGTGGGGTGCAGATTGGAGAAGGCAAAGGAAGAAATGTTAGATCCCGCCCCCCCTCCCCGCAGACTTGATGGGAGTTACAGACAAGACTCCTGTTTGGAGAGGATGATGCCAGCGATGGGGAGCAGGGGACACGGAGACGGAGGGGGAATGGGGGGCGTAGAGAAGGTGACACCCAGAGCAAGCAGCCGCAGAGGAAACAGACTTGTGGGGGCCTCCTTCTCTCTTCGCCCCCCCCCCCCAACCTGAGAGACTGAACTTCTGGTCCGGGATGCGGAGACCCCTCCCAACTCCAAGGACCAGCGCCCTCGCGGAGGTGTGATGCCCGCGGATCCCCGCACCCACGCCTGCCCCTCTCCGGCCAGAGCCCCCCGGTCCTCCCCGCGGTCCTCCCCGCGGAGCTGGCTCGCGTCCAGCGCCGTCTGACCTCCCTCCCGCTCCCCTCCACCCCGCCCCAGCTCATCTGCATAAAGTTCCAATTAACACTCCTTCCGACAGCTCTTTAAGATCCCCGAGCACGCGCCGAGCTCAGCGGGCCTCTGCGCGCCGCCCCCCGGCCCCCGGCGTGCGCCCCATTAACCCGCACAGCCCGGGCCGCTCCCGGGGGCCCTGACCCCCGGCCTGGCCAGCGCCGGTTTTGGGGGGGCAGGAGGAGCTCAGGGAGCCGGGGGCGCGGCAGGGTCTGGGGCAGGCCAGAGGCCGAGGCCCCCCGGAGAGAAAGCCCGGAGCTGCCTCCCCCTCCCTCTTTCCGGGAGGAGATGGGGAGGGGGGCTTCTCCCGGGAGACTCGGGGCGTCTGAAATTCTTGGTTCCTCATCCGCCGGCCCCCGCACCCCTCCTCCTCCCCCCGCCACGTACCCTCTCCCCTCCCCGCCATCTGTTCCACTCGGCGGCGGCGCAGCGACAAACACGGCTCCCGCTCGCTTCCGCCCCTGCCCAGCCCCCTCCCGAGCTCCCACCCCGTTTGGGGGGTGGGGGAGACTCCCTCCCCCGGAGGCCGGGGTTTCTGCGGGCACCGCCCACCCGGGCCCCCGCCCGCCGGCCGCAGCCCGGCAGGGACCAGCGCCCAGACCCCCTCCTTCCTTAGGGCTCCAGGGTCGGAGGGGCTGGAGGTCCCGCTGCAAAAGGTGGGGGTCGGGAGGGCGTGGGGGGATGTCGGGGGAGGGCAGAGCAAGCCGGGGTGGGGCTGAAGGTCAAGACCCAGGGGAGCAGACTCCTGGGCAGCGCGAGCGTGTGCAAGGGCGCGGGTTCCCTTTCCGGATCGCCTCCCCCCCGCCCCTCCGCCTCGTCCGGGCTGCTGCCACGCAGCGCCGCCTGCTGGGCACACCGCGTACCCCGCGCGCAGGCTCTGGGGTCCTGGGCCGCCGCTACCCGGAGTCCTTGGGATCCCCCTCTGGCCATCAACCTCCACCATCCAACCGACTCCCAGGCTCAGAGAGTCAAGGTCCGGGACAGAAAGTGCATGGCACCCGGACAGGTACTCTGGCCACCCACCCAACCCGGGGGCGGGTGCCATCGGATTCTGATTTGGTATTTTGCCAAAAGGGCCGTGTCAGAATCCGGGGGACTGGGCTCTGCTCTGCTATGTGACTTTGCCAAGTCTCCAGACCCTTCTCTCTGGACATGTTTTTTTCCTCTATAAAATGGGTGGGTGAGTCTTTTTGTATTAAGCGTTTAAGACCAAGGGGCGGCTTATCTGTAATACTGTCTTCTCAGCTCTAACATTTGGCGGTTTTCCAAGCTTTTTTTTTTTTTTTTTTTTTGAGGGGGGAAGGAGGGTAGGGCCTTTGAGGTCACTCTCAGCCTGAGAGGACAGCTGGGAGCTGGGCTGAAGAGCGTGGCCCTCCCTTCTGCCCCTGGCTGCCCTGGTCCCAAGCTCAGCTCCGCCACCAGCTGCGTCCTCTGGTCCTGTGCCCTAAGCTTTCAGCATGGCACTAAGGACCGCTGGGCTGCAGCGAGGATGAAATGAGATACCCGTGCAGATCAACACGAGTTAGTGCCCCTTCCTGCGCCCTCCCTCCATTCTGACGTATTCTAGCCTCTAGGACTGATGTCCTAGGGCCTACACCGGTATAGCAGCGGGATAAATATCTTCTTAGAATATCAGAGGTGGTATCCTTCCTTGCTGCAGGTAATTTTAAAGCTTCGCTATAATGTTAAAAGTAAGTATCAATAGAGTGCAACGAGTGAAGCTCAAAATTTGCATGCCGTTTTAGGAGACTATTAAAAAGTCGCTTTCAACAGGCCCCCAGGGGTGGTTTGGCAGGAAAGTGTGAGAGTCATCCATTCTTTCTGAAGCAGCAAACTCATTAGTCAACAGGGCCAAATATCAACAATACAGCGACTGAAACTTCTTTGGAGAGCCAATTTTTTTAAACTTAAACTTCTTCTAACGCCACTTCTTCAAAATAGACCTGCCCAGGTCGTGGTATTTTGTGGAGGAGCCACACTCAAAAGGCCAAAGAGCCGCATGTGGCTTGCCAGCCGCAGTTTGCCAACCACGGTTCTAAAGCATCTTGCCCTGACCCCCTAGATGTACCCCAAACCCAGGAATCGGGGGCAGGAGTAGAGAGAGAAGGGTCTGAATCCAGACTCTTAAGGACAGGGCCTGGTGGAGAGCAGGGAGGTCAGCCAGCCAGCTAGCCAGAGGTGGACAGGCTGGCACTTCAGGTGTCCTACTTCTTGCCCAGCCAAACCTGGGCGAGGTGATGGGTGGGGGTGTGAGAAGACACAGGCACACACACCAGCCAGTCTCTCACTTCCCTTTTTATTTCCTCTGAGACCTGCAAAAAGCCGCACCAGGGAGGGAACCCGCCCTCCGGCCCCTGGAGGGGCCTTCACCCCCCCACACACCCCTTCCAGGACACAGCCAGCACCTCAGGCCCCTTCCTTTAGGGGAAGGATGGTTCACACACATACACACACACACACACACACACACACACACACACACGTGCACACATGCACATGTACACACTTCACACTTCCATGCACCCCCTGGGCATGACTCAGCTGTTGGGACTTGGGGGTAGCCTGTTTGCTGATCCCAAGCCCCCAGGAGGCACTAGGAGGATGAAGGCCCAGAGAAAGGGCAGCCCCACACCTTGGTCTCCCCCAGTCCAGGAGGAAGAGGCCCCCTCCTTCGGTCTTCAATCAAGGGCACATGGCTTTGGGGGATTTTTTTTTTTAGGGATTTTTTTTTTCCCTTTTAGCAAGTCCCTACAAAAATAGAATTTCTCCTGGTATTTATAAATCCACGGCCCCAGGCTGTGCGTGTGCCACAGGTAGAAAAGCCACACGAGGCGTTCCCTTTGGTTCTCAGGCCTCGGCTGCCCGTCACCGGGTCCGTTGTCTGCGGAGGCCTACGCCGTCACCTCGGGGCTGCTCAGCGGCTTCAGGGGGCCCTCCCAGCCGGAGGCGTGCTCCCTCTGCAGCCGGGCTCGGTAGTAGAAGAGGTAGGAAGGGAGCAGGAATCCCAGCAGTGAGAAGAGCAGGAGGCCCAGGTTCACCTGGAGGGCAGAGAGAGAGAATCAGGCAGGTTCCCATTCTCCCCCTCTCCTCCAACAGGCAGGAGAAGGCCAGGATGACACGGAGCTAGAACGCATGGTGCTCCATCGCCGTTCCAACAGGGCCTCGCTTCATGGCGAGTGGCCTTGTAAAGTGGAGAGCCTGGTCTGGATGCTGGCCGACGCCAGCGCCCACGCTGGGGACACTGAGAGGGGTCGCTGGGGTGGTGAGCAGAGCCTCCCAGGTGGCAAAGGGAGCAGGGCACTCAGCCTGGAGGATGGGAGGCTCGGAGGTCCAGCCCAGCGTGGACGGGCGTGGACCCGACTCGCTCTGCATCCCCCTCTGCATTGCTCTGGGCTCTGAGTGCCTCCTCCTCAGCACCCTTCCGGCCTAGATGCAGGGATAAAGCACACGGTGTGCGCAGCGCCTGGAGAGCGTTCTGTGAATGGTGGTGGTCACCTCATGGTCTTTGCGGGAGAAGGGCTTATGGGAGTGAGTGGTGCATGGGGCAGGGAGAGAGGCTTTCGGGGGGCAGATGTCCGTTTGCTGCCGCCGACCGGTCACGGGGCGAGGGGACCCCTGACAACGGAGAGGGTCCCTGGGTCCCTGGGTCCCTGCCCTGGGTGGACCTGGGTGGGATCGGTTCTGGGCCATTTCACATGTCACCAGGGAGCTTATCTAAAACAGACTCCTGGGCCCAGGCCAAGAGCTGCTGATTCAGCAGGCGGGGGAATTTGTGTTCTTAACACTCGGCGAGGGGTTCTGACGGGCAGCCAGCTCGGGAACCCCCAGACTACAGACTTCCAAGGCACCTCCCGGCTGCGGCGAGAAGACGGAAGGATTCTATCCCACACCAGCTCCCCCACCCCCGGCTCCTGGGCTGCACCCAGGAAGGGGGCTCCTGCTCCCCCAGCCCATCACCCCCAGTTCTCACCCAGAAGGGGTTTCCTTTCAAGTCTCCCACCATGACGATGAAGAGCGGCTGCTGGAGCAGGGCGAACACAGCGCTGATGAGGGACTGCAGGCCTGTCAGCGTCCCAAAGTGGTTGGACGGGAACCTGTCAGCGAGAGGGGCCAAATGGGAAGGACCTGTGGCCCTCCCCTGCCCAGCGCCCTGCCGGCCCCTTCCCCAGACACCGCTCTGTTTGCCAGGCAGAGTTCAGGCTCTTGCCAAACCGGTTTGGCTCAGTGGATAGAGCGTCCGCCTGCGGACTGGAGGGTCCCAGGTTCGATTCCGGTCAGGGGCATGTGCCTTGGTTGCGGGCACATCCCCAAGTGGGGAGTTTGCAGGGGGCAGCTGGTCAATGTTTCTAACTCTCTATCCCTCTCCCTTCCTCTCTGTAAAAAATCAATGAAATATATTTAAAAAAAAAAAAAAAGTTCATGCTCTTTGCATGTGCTCTCTGGCCCCTGGCCTGGAGGGTGTTATGCCATGACTTCAGGGCCACCAAACTGGCTTCTGACACCTCCTCCTTTTGTAATTCACTCAACCTCGCTGGGCCTCAGTTCCCCCTCCCACTCCCCCAAACACAGGGCGAACCCTAGCCTCCTGGAGCTGTTTGTGTGTGCTTTTCACAAATATGTATTGAGCTCCTACTGTGTGCCGGGTGCCCGACTAGGTGCGTGGGTATTCAGCCGTGAACCGGACCGGCAAAGATTCCTGGAGATGGCCCTCTGGTGGGGCGGGTGGCAGTCACTCACTGAGCGAGATAACGGCCTCATGTGCCAGTGGCGATAAGTGCCAAGGGGAGGAGGTAAGCGGAGACGGGAGGGTGTCGAGGGGCTGCGGGGGCTGATAGGATGGCAAGGGAGGTGCCCCCGAGGGCAGCGAGGTGAGAGCTGGAGGAGAGGAGATAGCGGAGCGCCCTGGGGAAGAACGCTCTGAGACGTGCTCGGGGTTTATGAGGCACCAGGGTTGAGGAGGGCAAGGAAGAGGGCAGAGAGGTCCCTGGGCCAGGTCTTGTGGGGCCTTTTAAGCCACGATAAAGCCTTCAGCGTTTTCTCTGAGGGACACAAGACGGGAAGCCATGGAGTGCCACGAAGAGACTTATGTCCCAACAGGTGTCGCCGGCTCTTGCGTTATAAATAGCCCGAGGGAAGGCGAGGGCAGCCAGAAACGGGGTGCAGGGGTGGGGCCGGTCAGAAGGGTTATGAGATATGCAGTCCTGCAGCGGGCAGGATGGTTGCTAGATGGAACATGGGGTGGGAGAGGACGGAGCATCAAGAGTGACCCCACAGTTTTAACGTGCGCCAGTGCGGAATGGGAGGGTGTGTGTGTGTGTGTGTGTGTGTAGCTGAGACGGCCGGCATGAGGTTTTAGGGGGTGCGGTCAAGGGTCCCCCAATGTGTCCCCACGGAGCACATGCTCAGTAACGGCCGGGATGTTGTCACCGCTGTTGTGACATCCTCTGTGTCACAACACAGAGGCACACACAGTGGGAATCGGAAGAGAACGAAGGGAGCAGGCCCTTCAACAGGAAGCAGGAACATGATAAGGCAAACAAGACTGCGGTCCGGAGATTTCTACAGGATTGGCACGGGGAGAGAGGCCACTTGGGGGAGCGTTTCAGAGAGCGGACACAGGACCCACGTGTCACCAAACCAAGTACTGCAGCTTCCTCTAGGGGAGACTTTTTGACAGGGGACGTATCCTGCAGTGGGGGGCGGGGGGGGGGGGGGGTGTAGTGCGTCTGAGGAACTGAGCTCCCCCTCACTAGTGGAGCTCGAGGGGGCAGTGGACCAGACGGCCTCCCAAGACCCCCACCAACCCTCTCATCCACCCCCTCCTCGGACAGGTCAGCATTCCAGGGAGGCTGGAAGCGGTGCCTGAAGGGCTGTCTGGGGCCCCTTCCTCTCTGCTCTGGGACCCTCTGCTTATGGGGGGAAGCTCAGCAAGGCAGGGGGGGCCACGGTGACTCACACTGCCGCGTAGAGGCCACCGCAGGCCGAGTGGTAGAAGCCTCGGACGATGGTGTGCAGGACGAAGGTCACGAACTGAAACCAGGAGGGAGAGGAAAGCGGGTTCAGGGCTCGGTGCCGGCAGGGTGAAGGGCGGGCGGTGGGAAGAGGGAAACGGAGCCCACAGAGCCCGCCTACACATACTGACCCTCTTCCCGACCCAACCTGCTGGCAACACTCCCCGGGAAACCCAGACAATAGATCCGGAGAAGGAGGGCGACCCCGTTTCCTGGACAGCAGGCACCGGGGCAACCGTCCGGAACGGTCCCTTTGGAGGAGCCTGAGAGGCGGGGAGAGTGGGAGGCGGAGGCAGGTACCTGGAGGTGTAAGTTGTTGATGAGGCAGGTGACGCCAAAAGCCACCAGCAGGATGTTGGTCAGCGTGAAGGCGTTGATGGCGTTGGTGAGCTTCTGGATCTTGCGGTAGCGTGGTCTCACGGACTTGGTGGCAATCCCGTCCCTGCCGAGAACAGGGTCACTGGCCGCTGCCCCCGCCTCTATCTCCCCGCAGCTCCCTGGTGCTCAGCCTGGCCCCGGCCCCTTCTGCTGTGGCTCCCCGTCAGGAACACCAGCATCACTGGGACCTCAACTACACCAGCATCAATGCAGACCCCACGGCCTCGGTCCAGACTCGGGCTCTTGAGAGTCGGCCCCAGGAATCCGCATACAGACAGAGGTCCCACGCATTTCACATGCACACTGACGTCTGAGACTCGAGGATGGGAAGGAAGGTGGAGGATGGGAAGCTCTCACACCGTTTCTCGTCAGGAAAGTGTCTCTGCCCATCAGCCTGGACAAGCGGCCTGCCCAGCAAACCCTTCTCTGCACAGGGTCAGGGCTCCAAGGCTGGCCCAGGGGAAGAGCAGTAATCTGGGATAAAGGCAGGCTGGCACTGGTCCTACACAGAAAGGCCCTGCTCATGGGCCCTGGCCCCCAGGGAAGAGGGCAGAGGAAGAAGGCTGGTGCCAGGGCCGGGGCACCGCTGGTGGGAAGGGAAGCCACTGATTGCTCCTTAGCTACCTTCTCTCCTCGTCTCCCTCTCCTCACCTCACAGGAGACCCCTGACTGAACACAAAGAGAACAGCAGTCGGACCTCGGACCCAGTGGTGGTCTCCGGCCAACAAGTGGCCCCAGAACCCCCACGGCCTGTTTCCACACCCTATACAGTCCTCCCACACGGCACAGAGTTACTCCTTGTGACCAACAGAGCATGATGGGAGTGATGGTTTGATTCGTCAAGAGCATGTTCCTTGGTTGCAGGCACATCCCCAGTAGGGGGAGTATAGGAGGCAGCTGAATCGATGTTTCTCTCTCATCAACTCTCTATCCCTCTCCCTTCCTCTCTGTAAAAAAATCAATAAAATATATATATATTTTAAAAAAGTAAAAGTACATAGAAAATGGAAGCTCCATCTGATCACTTGCTGTCGTCATCGCTGTGCTGCTCACCTGGCATCGTCGAGGGCCATGCCCTCAGTGGGGCTGTCCACACAGTCTTTGATCCGCCAGTCCATGAGGTAGCCAATGAGAGGGCAGGTGAGTAGACACAGCAGCTGCATGGCCCCAAAGACGGAAGAGTAGAACCCAACTGGGCAGGACGGGAAGGAAGCGGGGTCAGGAGCTGGCACGAGGGATGCCAGAAGCTCCCCACTTCCAGCGGAGAAGAGGGAATGCCAACATAGCCCTCCTCTGGCCCCACATTCTTAGATCTGACAGGGGGTGTCCAGGCTCCCTGTCAGGTGGGTGGCGGTGGCTGGGTGGGTGCAGGCCAGGGTCTCAGCTTTTGTCCCCCTACCTGTCTCTTCCGCTCTTTGCTTCAGGGAGACGGTCTCTGTTGGGGGCGGCAGAGGGAGAAGCCAGGGTGAGAGAAGCTCAACCAGGGTGACCCTCCTGTGCCCCCCGTGGGCTCAGCAGCACCTCACCATGCTCCTGGCCGCCGGTCACGATGAACTCCAGCATCTTGTTCATGGCGGCCATGTAGAAGATGACCCGCAGCTGGGTCATGCCCATGGTGAGGAGGCTCCACAGGAAAATGGGGGAGCAGAGGCTCTTGCGGAAGGGGACAGACTCTGGAGAGACAGCAGGGGGTACCCCTGAGCCCCTCATCTCCCATTTCCCTCCGTGTCCTGGCTCATGCAGTTCTAGTGAAGGCTCTGACACTGTGTCTTTAGATAGAAGCCAGTTTCTTCAAAAACAAGGATGCAGACGCTCTGGCCTCCAAGTTCTTGCCCAGCTGTTGTAACTATCTCAACAGCACACTTTCAGCAACCTCCGGGTGTAAACCCGCATGCTTGGTGTGGTAATTACTCCAGCTACTATGCATTTAACACTTACTATGTGCCACACACTCAACATGGGTTATCCCATTTACTCCGACTGTGCAACACCCCGACCTTTGCCACATGTTACAGATGGGGAGACTGGGGCTCAGGGAGGCCACTGACTTGCCCGGGCTCATGGGACAAGCCAAACTCAGCTCACACCCATAACTCGGCCATGGGAGAACCAGCAACAGGAATACCTCCCTAGGAACTGCACAGCAATCTGCCTTTTCCAAAGGGCTTTCGTGTCCATGGCTTCATTCAATCCTCACACTAACTTCCCTGTGAGATGGGTGCTGTCAGTGCTAGTTTAAGAGATGAGGAAAGTGCCCTAGCTGGTTTGGCTCAGTGGATAGAGCATTGGCTTGTGGACTGAAAGGTCCCAGGTTTGATTCTGGTCAAGGGCATGTACCTTAGTTGCTGGCACACTCCCAGTAGGGGGGTGTGCAGGAGGCAGCTGATTGGTGTTTCTCTCATTGATGTTTCCAACTCTCTATCCCTCTCCCTTCCTCTCTGTAAAAAATCAATAAAATATTTAAAAAAAAAAAAAAAAAGAGATGAGGAGAGTGAGAGCAGGGTTAAGGGATCTACCTAAGTCACTTGGCGTGGAACTGGGGGGCGGGACTCAAACCCTCATCTGAGTTCCAAGGCTGGCTGGTGCTCCTGCCACTAATAGAACTGACACCTTGGGAAGGGGTCCAGACAGAAGGCAGGTTGCGACTCCTCCTGCGGCCAGCAGGGGGCGCGAGCCAGACAGGTGTTGGAGGGCCCAGCTCACCTGATGCAAGAAGCTCAGAGGTTGCAGGGAGCCCTGCTGAAACCAGTTACCCCACAGGCCTGGATGGAGTCTCTGCCCCATCCCCTCTCCGTTCCCCCAGGAATCTGAGCCCCATTCCCACGCCCCCTTTTCTGTAAATGGGGACTGCCCACCTATATCATGTGGTGCTGTGAGAACTGAAGAGGGAAGCTCAACCAGAGAAGCCCTCGGTGTGAGTGCTCACTGCGTGGGAGGACCCGCCTTCCCCAGTCCCCAAGGCTGCCACCCTGGCCAGATACTCACTCTCCCGAGGCTTTCCACGAGTGTCCTGGGAGGAGATGTCATCCTCCTCCATGCTGGGGGCCCTCTGGCTCAGCCGCTGGCCCACATTGACCACATGGGTGTAGAAGCGGTCCCCTGTCACCTTGTGATCCAGGGCCAGCCCAGTAAGCTTGATCTTCTTCCTGCCGGCAGCCAGGCCGGAGCAAGTAGTAACCAGCCCCTCCGCAGAGCCCACCCTCAACAGGCTGCCTCCAGGGGGTGCCCCAGGCATCCCCGGGGGTGCTGAGCACCCCTTTGCCCAGCACTGACATGCCCCCTGATGAGATGGCTCCCTCAGATGTGTGCAGGGTTCACAGCCGAGTCCCTCGGAGCCTGGCCCAGAGACCAGCGTAGTGCCCGATAAAGGAAGGCTGGGTGAGTCCTTTTCCACTGGGGTTGTTACTAGGGAGGCAGCGTGAGGAACTCAGACTGGAGTCAGAGAGCCTGGCTCACCCCCGCCCCTTAGGAAAGTCACTTTGTTAATGGCAGAATCCACGGTCACGGGGCTGCTTGAGAAGGGCATGAGGGCTAAGCGCAGTGCCTGGCATACAATAAAGACCAGGGGCTGAACAGGCACCCTCTGTGCTTGGTTTTGGAGCAACACACACACACACACAGCCATCCCCTGGGGAACTGACAGGAAATTGGGAAAAGCCGGTGTTCAGGCTGCCCCACGAAAGGTGGTGTATTTGATCGGACTGCCTGCTACACGCCGGGTGTATTCCAAACCCCTGTGGGTGTGCAGGGTCAGGCCCGAGGTAAAAACGAGAAAGCAGAGCTCGGGGAACTCAGGCCACTTGCAAACCCAGGTCTCTCTGACTTCACCGCTCATTCTCTCCGTCCCACCTCCACTCCCCTGGCCTTCCTCTGCAGGAGAGAGGTCCCCCGCCACCCCAGCACCCTCCATAGAGCCACTCACGTGTAGCTGCCTTCCTCAGGAGAGGGAAAGGATTCGCTGGGCCAGTTGAGGGCACAGTTCAGAAAGATGAGGCAGGCCAGGCCTGACCAGGTGAACATGATGACCATGAAGGCCACGCCGGCATCGTAGATCAGCTGTGGAAAGAGGAGCAGACCTGTGGGGAGGCTGCCAGGCTCCAGGCCCCCCTCTGCCAGCCCGAGGTAGAACCCGGGCCTCCAAGGATAAGGTGACCAGACGTCCCGCTTTTGGCGGGACAGTCCCGATTTTTAACAATTTGTCCCGCGTCCCTCGGCGTTTTAAAAAAGTCCCGATTCTTTCCAAAAATCGGGACTTTTTTAAAACGCCGTGTCCTGTCCCTTGCTGGCCTGTTCCCTGGGGGAAAGACAAACCCAAGCTGACAAGCCTTATCTCACCTTTCACAGGTGCTGACGCTGAGGGGGAGGGAGTGCGTGCAGTACTCTGCCCAAGGCCTCCTGACCCGCGACAAGCAGGTTCTGAATAGACTGGAAGCCAGGTATGTGAGCTGGTGTCTCTCCTCTGACCTCTCAGCCACCCTCTGCCTGGGATGACCGATGTCTGGCCTCCCCTCGGGCTCCCGCTTGGGGCTCTTTCTTCCCTGAAGGCAGCACGGAGCTCCAAAGGGCCACCTCCCAAATGAGTGGGGATCAGGCCTGGCTCCTTACACCCCTCTGTCTGAGCTAAAAAGGGAGAAGGGCCACCATCCATGCCTGCTGCTACCTGACCAACTGGCAGCCACCCCACCAGTGCATGCTCTCAAACTCCTTTGGGGACACCGGGCAGGTGCCTTCTAAACTAACAAATCAACTACTCCCCGTGGAATGGGAGGGAGTGGCCCAGTGGAAAGGGTGCTTTGTTACCTTATGATATCAGAGGAAGAAAGGAGGCCCCAAACTTGCCCAGAATGAAACCTGGGCCTTCTGGCTCTAGGTCCACTGGCTGACCTGTCTAGGATCTGTCCTTGGGTTCAAGGTCACAAAACGGACTAGCTTTGTGACCTTGAAGCCAAGTCACCCAAGTCTTTCCAGAGCGTGGGAAGGAGATGTGGCTGGAAAGACCGGGTGAGACCAGAGAACCAAGAGCCTTGAATGCATGTGAACAGGTTGGACTTGATTCTGCAGGTGAAGCCAAGTGCGTGTGTGAGTGCGTTCCCCATCTAAGATCCTTCCGCGTAAGTCATGTGAATGACAGATGGGAGAGGGAAGTGGCTAGAGACAGAAGACCAGCTGAGAAAGCCTGTTCTGGCCCAGGAGAGAGGGTCAACAGGAAAGGAAAGGAGGGGAGCAGAGAAATCAGACCCACTGGTGGGCAACAGCACCTGGATTCTTCCCATGATGCCTCAGTGCTTTTCCCGGAGGTGGTGGGAACTGACTGGCAGGAACCGGATCACCAGACACTAGCCACTGCATACATACCCCACCCCACCCAATTTTTACATCAAGGCAAAAAGAAAGCACGGTGGCCTCACTGCTCCCCCACCAACCACCCCCGGAGGCAGTTCCAAACCTTGATTGCTGGAAACGTGATGGCAGAAGAGGCGTAGGAGCCGATCATGAGGGCCATGATGGTGGAGCGCAGGTTCCCAAACATGTTGGGCAGCTGCAGGAGGAGGACAAGGCCAGTGAGCAGGGGAGACCCTGACATCCGCCCCAGCCTCCCCTTTCCCAGCCCCGCCTGTGAAACTTGGAAGCATCCAGCCCAGTGTCCTCACCGCGAGCTCCAAGAACACCAGCCCCATGAGACGCCCGCCACAGACAAGTTACAAGGCAAATCAATGTTGGAAACTGCTCTACCCCCTCCCACAGACTCTCAAGGCACTTTAGCATCTAAAAGACTCCCAAAAGTGCCCTCCCAGAGAAGTTTTGTCAATTTTGCTTAACCCCAGGGTTTCCCAAGTTCGTTGCTTAGGGAGTCACTTTATCCTGGGATGCCTCTTAATAACCCAGGAAATGAATGTTTAAGAAGCATTGACCTACTCTGTAAGGTATGTAAATGTCAAACCACCCCCCTTAGCTGGTTTAACTCAGTAGATACAGCACCGGCCTGCAGACCAAAGAGTCCCAGGTTTGACTCCGGTCAAGGGCATATAGCTCCGTTGTAGGATGAAAGAAGGGCTTGTGCAGGAGGCAACCAATCGATGTTTTTCTCTCACATCAATATTTCTCTCTGTCTTTCCCACTCTCTTCTACACTCTCTAAAAAAAAAAAAAATCAATGGTGCCGAAACTGGTTTGGCTCAATGGATAGAGGATCGGCCTGTGGACTGAAAGGTCCCGGGTTCGATTCCGGTCAAGGGCATGTACCTTGGTTGTGGGCACATCCCCAGTAGGGGGTGTGCAAGAGGCAGCTGATCGATGATTCTCTCTCATCGATGTTTCTAACTCTGTCCCTCTCTCTTCTTCTCTGTTAAAAAAAAAAAAAAAATCAATAAAATTTTTAAAATAAAAATTTTTAAAAATCAATGAAAAAAATATCGAGTGAAGATTAAAAAAAATAAAAATAATAAATGTCAAATCACTATGTTGTTCACCTGAGAGTAATGTATATGAATTGTAATTAGACAATAAATTTTTTAAAAAAATGAATCACTGATCAAGTGCAACTCCTTTGGCAGATGAGAAAGTTCAGGCCCAGGGAGGGAAAGAAATGCACTCCAGTTCCTGGAGCACGTGAAAGACTTTGTCCCTTGTCCGGCCATTCTGGCTCTATTTATTCCAGACCCCAAGGCTGTGACCATGGCTGGCTCTGTCACGAGATGGTGCCCCTTCACCTTCCCGGTGGCCCCAAATGTCCCAGCCCACAGTCTCTGCTGAACCTCAAATAGCTCTGGAGAGGAAGGTGAGCCGGGACAAGCCTGGGATAGGCTAGGAGGCGAGGGTGGAGCGGAGGGAGGCCAGGTGTCCAGGGAGGTGGCTCTGAGTGGGCAGGGCTTCCACCAGTGGAGAATTAACTGATTGTGTGTTCTGCTCGCCGGCCCTCAGGGTAGGGCAAGGCAAAGTCATGCTGCCCTCTGTGTACACTCTGGCCCCGTATCCCCCCAGGCCAGCAGATGCCCTAGCTGGGGGAGGGCCTCAGCGGCTCGCACCCTCCCCAGAGGTGGAAAACCAAAGCCCAGGGAGCTCTGCTAAGGAACGTGGGTAAACACAGAGCCCTGAGTCCCCCCTCCACCAACTTCCAGGCAGCTATGAAAAGGGTAAGAGAGCCGCCAGGTTTCCCTGGCACCTGTGTCTGCCAGGCACGCTGCCAAGGCCACCGGGGAAGTGCCAGGAGCGAGAACAGCCCGGCTTTTGACGCAGCCCCGCCACCCTGCCCCCCAACTCAAGGGTCCCAGGGCGCTGCCTCCACCCAGCGCGGCCGGCGCGGGGCCAGCGCCTCCGCTAACCCCGGGCTGACGCGCGCGGGCGGCACTGGATGTCCTGCCGGATCCGTCCTGGCGGGAGCCGCGCCCGCGGAGGCCCGGGGGCGGGGCCGGGGCCGGGCCCTGCCATTGGCTGGAGATCAGTGGGCGGGGCCGGGGAGGAGGAGGGGGGCTGCGATCTGCAGGCAGAGCCCCCCGAAACCTGACCCCTAGGCGGGCCGGGCCGGGGCCCAAGGGCAGACCCCCCGCCCCGCACCATGCCGGGCAGGGAAGAAGGGACAGCGGGCCCTGAGCCGAGATGCACAGCGTGGAGAAGGGGCCGGGGCGGCTGGGCGGGGAGGAGGGATTTGCTTCCTTAGAGAGAGAGAGTTGTGAAATGTCCCAGGCTGGAATGAAGAAGGGCCCGACAGGGGAAATTCAGCCAAAAACACCCCGTTTGGTGGTCAGGCAACCCGTATCCGAAATAAACAACCAGCCCCGGCCAGAAGCTGGCCCGGCCAGAAACCGCTTCCCCCACCACCCGCTCACAAGCCTTGAACCCTACAACACAAACAGACACACTTAAAGGAACACACACGCAACACACACACACACACACACACACACACACACACACACGCCTAAGAGACGGATCCATGGGATTAAAGCCATTTTTGTACGCCAAGGACGGTCAAGGGTTGGCAGTTTCATACGGTTCGGTCAGATACACGCACAGAGACCTGTGCCTTCGCCTGCCCTGCCCCGGGGAGAGCACCACAAGTGCACAACGAGGCAAGCCTACGGTCCCAAGCTGTCCTCTCCCTGTCACTATCACATTACCCCTCTCACTCCCTTTCCAGCGCTGATGACTGCAGATGCAATGTGTCAATTTACCTGCTGTGTTTCCCCCAACCCCACAAGGCAAGCTGCAGGAAGCTGAGGAAGTTCAGATGTGTTTGTGCTGCGGCCCCAGTGCCTAGAACACGCTCTACAGACAGTGTGGGCTGGACACACACACACACACACACACACACACTTCATCAGCATCCACTCTCCCCTCTCACCTTCACTCACTCCTACCCCCACCCACTCCTGGGTGCCCTGCTGACAAGCCAAAGCCTGTCATACTCACCGTGAGTGAAGAGAACGTTAGGCAGATTCCACCAAAGCCATTCAGGGACAGCGCCAGGAATATCAATGGAGACAGAACTGGGGAGAGGCGAGGGGTGAGTAAGGGCATTGGGGAGCTGTGGGAGCCAAGGGCAGACACTGGGGTAAACATCCACCTTCACCCCGCTCATTCTTTCCTCGCGGGGGCACCAGAGGCCAGACTTCTCACCTTGGGTGTCCCGAGAGGCCAGGGCCATGAGGGTGCAGGATGCAGCGAAGCAGGTGCTGTGGAGATGGGGGGTGGAGAGTGGGGACTGTGAACACTGAGCCTCCCCCCTCGCCCCCTGCAGCACCAGTGTCCCTGCCCTCAAGTTCCCCCAGGCGTGGCACCGCCACCTCACCTGCCCACCAGCCGTGTGGGCCGAGGGCCAAAGCGGTCCATGAAGATCCCCAGGGGCAGGGTGGTGGCGCTGAGCACGAAGGAGCCGATGGTGAAGCCCAGGTTGAGCATCTTTTCCTGGCTCTCACAGCTGGGCCACTCGAGCTGTGCATCCTGGGTGATGTTAGTGATGTTCTCGGCTGAGGAGGGACAGGGAGGGCTCAGTACCTAACGGCAGGAGCAGCTGGGTGCAGGAGAGGGCGGCCGGGGATCGGGGGTCCTGTGCTAAAACCCCATCCCTGCAATTCACTGCCAGCCAGCTGACTCTGGGGGTGGCCTAGAGTCATATCTACTCTGGTGGGGAAGGAGCTCCAAAAATGGCAGCAGCTAGCATCTTACTCAGGGGAGTCACACACCTAATTTAAGGTGACCAGATGTCCCGCTTTTGGTGGGACAGTCCCAATTTTTAACAATTTGTCCCACGTCCCACGGTGTGTTTAAAAAAAAAAAAAAAAAAAAGTCCCGATTTTAAAACGCCACGGGACACAGGACAAATGGTTAAAAATCGGGACTATCCCGCCAAAAGCGGGACGTCTGGTCACCTTAGCCTAATTGGAGGCCTCTAACTCGCTCAGACATGATCATGCACATCCAAGCAGTCACCAGGTTGTGAGACTCACTCGATGTCCGAGCTTAGGGTGGGCAGACCCCCAACAGGAAACACCTTCGAATCTGAGACAAAGTCGGTGAGTGAAGCTTAGCTGACGTAGCAAGAATTCGCTTAAACCTTGGATGAAGTTTTCCCCATAAATGACATTCTGATAGAGTATAGCAGTAGCTAATGTTTATAGAGCACTTTTATGTTCTAGGCATTGTGCTCGACAAGTCACTGAATTAACTTACAACAGCCCCGTGAGTCAGCTAATAAAGTATCTCCATTCTCCGGGCGATAAAACTGGAGCGCGGAACGAGGCCCATGGCACTGCCCTCCAATACCCTTTAGAAGTCCTCCAGGTAAACTGCCAACTTGGAGTTGTGACAAGTTCACGGAAAAAGACTTGTGGTGGGGGAGGAGGGCGATTTCCCTTCGTTCGGTGCTCAATAAACCACGAGGTGGCGGCTCCGCTGCCTATCCGCTGCCTAGGCATCATGGCCAAGGGCCAACTCAGGATGCACCTGGAAGGCAGGCAGTCCGAGGAATGAATTCCCACCACCATCCTTCCCACCGTGCAGGCTTAGACAGGAAACTTCCTCTTTGTGCCCCAGGCTCCTTGCCTGTCAAAGGGAGCAGTGAATGCCAAACCCACAGGCTCCTTAGGAGATCCCGTTGGGAGTGAAAGGAGACATAGGCACAGGGCCTGTGCCCAGAACAGGTGCTCCTGAAATGGCTGATGAAGAGGAGACGGTGCCCCCACCTACGAGGGTCAGATGTGGTCAGCCACTTCTCTAGGTGCTGAAGAATTGTGGGGCTTCTATCAGATAATAAACAAGTAGACGCTGATTTGAATGGGCAGGTGCTGTGCTAGGAGGATGTGATAGTGCCTGAATGCTGGGGAAGGAGGCGGGGGAACACCTGCTGGCAATGGTGTCAATGACCCGGATTTCAGACATCTGAAGGGCTTGCAGGTGACAGAAGGGTGAAGGGATCTGCGTGATAACAAGGAAGTACATAAAAAAAAAAAAAGTTCAGATGATGAGTGCTCGGACCATGGTGAGTTTCCCATTGGTAGATACCAGCGGCTGAGGAAGCTGGGGAAGGAAGGAACTTAGGGCCCTGGAAGAAGCAGTTAAGAGGCTTTGGTGGAACCAGCCTTCGGGGTTCAGACGGACCCCTTGGTTTTGTGGTCTTTATGATCCCTGTTCCTTTCTCCATCAGGTTTGTCTGCACCCGTTTATTCGATCTACACTCACTTATTGGGCACATCTACTGTATGCTGGGCACTCTATTGGGACACTGTAAAGCAGGAAGAAATGCAAAGGACATTTAGGCTAGAAGCTGCACACAGGGGACCAGCCATGTCCCCCACACAAGTTTCACTTGGCTTGGAAATTTTAACTGGGTGCCAGTTTAAAACCAAGAGTTATTAGTCTGGTTTCTCTGTAAAGCAGTCAGATCTGCCCATTGTTTGGGCCAGATGGGGGCCAGCCCTCTTCACCAGAGCTTGCCCTCTCGAAGTCACCCAAGTCCTGGCTCACTTTTAGCTCTGACATGAGCCGCCTGACAGCTGCCCCGATTTGCCAATGATTAACTGGTTGGCCTCTGTTGGCCTTTGAGGTTGCAGAACTAGACGCTGTCCCTGCTCCTAAGTCTTTGACAGTCAAAGGACACGTCTCTTACAAACGGTCCCACTAGCTCTACGTTCATTAATACCGGCTTTGTGTGAGGCCCCTACATAGAGTATCTCACTTAACCCTCACAACAGAGCTCATGGCCTCACAGCCTCACAGCTGCTTACAGGCAGGCTCAGGTTCAAAGTCAAGACAACCTCCGGAGCCAGCGCCTTTCCACTGCACCACCCGGCCTTTCTGTCCTGAAGAGGGCGGCTTAGCTAGTTCCCCCAGCCAAAGCACCTACTGCCAAGTAACATCGTCCTCTCACCGCTGCAGAACCCCAGCCCCGTGGGTGGCTAATAGCTCCAGGTCCATTAATGCATGCGTGTCTCCAGCTTATCGAGCAGCCTCTTGTGAGTCTGACTAACGTAAGCTAGTTCCCAAGACCTCGTCATTTGATGTGACTGGGGAGAGCCAGACTTCTGAAGCAAGAGGGAAGCAAGGACAAGATGCAAAGGCCTCTCAGATCTCTCCTCAGGTCAAGACCACAGAAGAGGTCTTTGAAATGCAACCCCACTGCCCCACTTCATAGACAAGTCAGGTGAGGCGAGGGGAATGGGACAGGGAAAACATACTCGTTAAGTTAGCGCAAGAGTTAGGCTAAGAAAAGCCATGGAAAACAGTACCTCCCTGGGGTTGGTATGCATAGCAGATGGGGTTTAAGAGGCACATGGAATGGGTTTTATGTTTCATAGTGATTAGCTATATGAATGAGTAACAAAAACACACATGTGTATTACTACATACAAATACACATATGTATGTATAGGAACATGTGTGTGTTAGAAACATGTGTACATATAAATATATTAGAAATGTGTTTGATATGTATGGGTATGTAAGTAGTATCAAACCCAAGATTCCAGGCACATTGCCCTTTAAAATTAGGCTTTTTTAAGTGGGTTGGTTTAAAAGGAAGGACTAAGTAAATAACAGCACGTGTGGCACACAGAAATAATAAAATTGTGAAGGTGAACTACAAATGACCTGGAAAAACAGTGGAAAACAGGATCAAGATTAAACATTCTGCCTCTGGAGTCAAGAGTGGGGCTGAATGCTGGCTCCATGAGCTGTGCTGCCGTAACCCTGAGGCTCTGTTATTCCACCTGCGAAATGGGGGTCCTGGTGGCAGCACCAGAGAGGCTGGCTCTGAAGATGCCGCACACACAAACAGGCACAAGGTGACTCCATTTTTTCCCGAATAGGGAGCACTTCCTCACCCCACTGCTCCTCTTCCCTGCAGTTGACACAGTCACTTTCACCAAGACTCCCGGAGGACTGGGCTCTGCCTGGCTGTCTTGTCTATACTTGAACTCCGGAAAAAGGACTCTAAGCTGAAGGAGATCGGGGACAACCGTCTACACTATTTCCGTGAGGCCTAGGATAAAGGCTCTGGAGTCAGGTCTGGGGTTGAATCCTCACTGAGCTCCTTATTTATTAGCTGTGTGACTTCTCGCAAGTTACTTAGCTCTCTGAGCTTCAGCTTTCTCTTCTATCAATGGGGTTAATCATACGTCACATCATCCACCTACATCACAGATCTGCTGTGAGGACTATTGATCTAACAAATAGTAATTGTTTAGTTAACTTAAGCCATTGTTTTTCTTAAGTGGGATATACAGTAGTGTGTGACAAATTGAACTGTCCCTGTCTAATTCTGAGTTCTCTTTGTTTTATTTTTACCCTCACCTGAGAATATTTTTCCCTTGATTTTGAGAGAGGGGGAAAGACAGAGAAAAATATTAAAGTGAGAGAAGCACCTCAATTGGTTGCCTCCTGCATGCCCCCTGACCAGGGGGCCCTGGGCCTGGAAAGAGCTTGCAACCAAAGTCGGTGCCCCTTGACTGGAATCAAACCAGGCACCCTTCAGCCTGCAGGCTGACGTTGAGTCCTCTTTAGATGTGATGTCCTTACAGGTGACTCCATCACCCACTCAGGTGGTCCCTCAACAGACGGAAGCAGACAGCACTGAGAAGACAAAGGTTGTGACCAGGGAACCCCAAAACTAATGAACGCCTCACATCACTGCACAGACTGAGAAGTGGAGATCCAGAGAGGGTAGGTGACTTGCCTAAGATCACACAGCAAATGCTGGCAAAGCTGGGTCCACAACATAAGAACAACCCCCGCCAGTTGTCTGCATTTTGAAATCTTGCCCTCATTTCATTTCCACAACAGCCCTGAAGTGAGGAGTATTGCTCTATTTTTACAGACGGAGTAGCTGAGATCGTAAGAAAGTTAAGGAACTGGCTCCCATCAGCCGATCAGACCATAGCAGAGCTGGCAGGGATGCTGCCTGTCTGTGTCCACACACTATGTGACACAGATTCCCGGGCTGATTCTATGTTCTTGGGACCCTGGAGAGAGAAAGGTTGAGGCCACAGTGAACGGGGCTTTAGGAAGCAGAAAGCGGCCTATTTTATAGGGTAGCATGATTAGGCAGAATAGGGGAGCACACCCCCAATCAGCCTGCTGTCTCAAGGACTGAGGCTGGAGCCCCTTGAACGAAAGAGAGGTGAGGGTAGAGAGACATGTGCTTTCCAAGAGCGGACAAGTCTTGGAACAGGAGAAGGGTTCACTTCCATCACCTCTAGTGATCGCAAACAGCCATCTCAGATGTAAACGCCTTCTGGGCAACCCAAAACACCAAGTGGATACCTCACACGGCATACAAAAATTAACTCCAAATGGACCACAAATCTAAATGGAGAGTACAACTCTAAAACTCTCAGGAGGAAATATAGGCATAAATCTTTGAGATCTTAGATCTGGCAATGGTTTCTTTTTTTTTTTAATTTTTTAAAATATATTTTATTGATTTTTTTACAGAGAGGAAGAGAGGGATAGAGAGTTGGAAACATCGATGAGAGAGAATCATCGATCAGCTGCCTCTTGCACACCCCCTACTGGGGATGTGCCCACAACCAAGGTACATGCCCTTGACCGGAATCGAACCCGGGACCTTTCAGTCCGCAGACCGACGCTCTACCATTGAGCCAAACCAGTTTCGGCTGGCAATGGTTTCTTAAACATGACACCAAATGACAAACGACAAAAGGAAAAATACAGTCCTAGCCAGTTTCGCTCAGTGGATAATGCGTCGACCTGTGAATAGAAAGATCCCAGATTCGATTCCAGTCAATGGCACATGCCCAGGTTATAGACTCAATCACCAGTTAAGGACTTGCAGGAGACAGCCAATCCACGATTCTCTCTCATTGTGAATGTTTCTATCTCTATCTCTCTACCCCTCTTCCTTCTTCTCTGAAATGAATAAAATTATATTTAAAAAGAAAAGATACTTAGATTGGACTTCATCAAAACTGAAAACTTTTGTACTCCAAAGGGTACCATGAAAATGTGAAAAGACAACCCACAGTGGGAGAAAAAAATTTGCAAGTTATTATCCTAAAAGGACTCGTATCCAGAATATAAAGAACCCTTAACAAGTCAGTAATAAAAAGGCAAATAATACAATTAAAAATTGAATAGATGTTTCTCCAAAGAAGGTATGCCAATGGCCAAGAAGCATATGAAGATTCCCAACATCGTGAGCCATCAAAAAATGCAAGTCAAAAATCATTTTATGTACACTAGAATGGCTACAATAAAAAAGGTGAGTAACAACAAGTGTTGTCTGGGATGTGGAGAAACTGACACCCTCAGACAACACTGGTGGGAATGTAAACTGGTGCAGATACTTTGGAAAATAGTCTAGCAGTTCCTCAAAAGGTTAAATATACAGTCACCCTATGGCCCAGCAATTGCACTCCTAGGTATATACCTAAGGGGGGAAAAGCATATGTCCACACAAAAACTTATACACAAATAGGATCATTATTTATAAAAGCCAAGAAAGTGGAAACAAAGCACATGGCCATCAACTGACGAATGAATAGAGCGTGGTAGATCCATACAACGGAATATTAGTCACAATGGGAAGAAGCCCATCCCGACCTGTGCTACCACTGAAGTGAACCTTGGAGACATCATTCCAAATGAAAAAAGCCTGCCACTGAAGACCACGTATTATAAGGTGTCATTTATAGGAAATGTTCAGAATAGACAAGTCTATTCTTGCCATAGGCAGACCTATGATGGAAAGTGGATGAGCAACTGAGGGCCGAGGGGGTAAGGAGAGTGAGTACTGCTAATGGGCACAGGGTTACCTTTTGGTGTAAAAAAAATATATATGTTCTAAAATTGATTGTGATAATGGTTGCACAACTCTGAATAGACTACAAACCATTTAATGATATACTTTATTTTTAATTGTTTTTCTCTTTGCAGAAATTAAGTACATTTATCCAACTGCAACATTTTCTTCAAAGACCACTTCTTTATTTTTAATAGGTTTTTGAAATTTTATTCTTCAAGTTCTCAATTACAGTTGACATACAATATTATACTGGTGTACAGCATAGTGATTAAACATTGATAATTTCTTAGGAAGTGATCAATCATGTGATAATCTATTATTCCTATGACACTATAGTTATTACAATATTATATTTGTTATTGTTGTTAATCCTCACCAGAGGATATTTTTTCATTGATTTTCAGAGAATGGAAGGGGGAGGGAGAGACAGAGAGAAACATCGGTGTGAGAGATAGGCTGATTGGTTGCCTCCTGCACACATCCAGACCAGAGCCAGGAAACCTATAACCAAGGTACGTGCCCTTGACCAGAGGTACGTGCCCTGAACCAGGACCCTTCAGTCCGTGGGCCAACGCTCTATCTACTGAGCCAAACAGGCTAGGGTTACAATATTACTGACTATATTCCCTGTGCTGTAATTTACATCCCCGTAACTAAATTGCATTATTCAAATGGGTGAGTTGTAAGGTATGTGGCATATCTTACCAAAGCTCTTATCTTTTTTAAACTCAGGCGGAGGGATGGGCAGCAAAAGAGAAGCAGAAATTTGGGGGTGATGGAAATACTCTATTTTAAATACTGATTATGGTGATAGTTCCTGAAGTGTACACATTTGTCAAACCTCTTCAAAATGTGTGACATAAAGTAATCTTCAGTAAAGTCGATTTCTAGAAGAAAGGCAGGAAGAAGCTATTGGGTTGGCAGTGGCAGGCATCAAGGCCATGAGCACAAGTCCTCTCTGGTCTCCGGGGTAAGCAATTCTAAGGGGACCTGGTTCACCACTCCCATTTGCAAATGGGGTTTCCTAAAACCCTTCTAGCGTTCTGCCTGGTTCTCTGAGCCACCCTGAACGCCTATCACTTCATCCCAAACCTGCTCCTCCTGAGCCGACTTGCCTCCCCAGGCCAGCTGCCAACTCTGATCTCCACCTCCTCCAGCACCAGCACCCTGTCACTGGGGCCATCCCTTGATGCCACCTGCTGCTTCCTTACAGATAACGGTGGCAGGGGCGGAGCAGCCTTTGGTGGAGCAGGTGCTGCCCCCAGCAGAGATCAAGGCCCTTCTTCCAGGGCTACCCACAAGGCCTCAGCTTTCCCCCACAACCAAGGTAGGTGCCCAGAGGGAGATGACTTGAGGGGCCACGTAAAGTCAAGACACTACTATGTATCAAGCACCACTGACTCTCACAGCAACCCTACCGTCTCCTCATTTTGCGGACAGGGCAAGTGAAGCTCCGTGTGCTAAGGAACTCACTAATGTCACCCACAGGGTGGAAGTAGCAGAAACTGGAATTCAGATGCAGGCTGGTCTTCCTCCAAAAGCCTGTCCCACACTATGGAGGCCGGAGGAAGGATGAGGAGAAGGGCCAAATTCCACACCCATCCAGGTCCTCCCAGAGCGTGCTGGCATAGCTCTCCTCAGAAAAAAGGAAGATGCCCTTCCAGCAGACAGCCCACAGCAGCTAAGTAACCTTAGAAACGGAATGTTAGAATTCCCACTTCCTCGCTGGGGGGTCACTACTAAGTCAAGGTTATTGAAATGGAAAATAGGAACCATGCACCATGCCCGGCCTGAAGGAAATGAGGCTATTATTATTAACTTGGTACAAAAGGGTGGTTAGAGGCCTAGGGACTCAAGGTCCTGAAAAAGGACTGCAGGCTCTTTCTAAGTCAATCCATTTGGTGGGCTCTCCTGTGCCTTAGTTAGCCCCAGTCAGAAATCCCTCGCCATTTAGCGGTAGCACTTCCCCCTTCTAGAAGCCTCCATCATGCTCCAGACCTGGGGCTGCCAGAGGCTTAGGACTCTGCCCGTCAGTCCCAGGAGGGGCATTCGGCATTCAGGGAAGACTGGATTCGATGAACCCGGGTAGAGTGGGCAGCATGTCGCCCATCCTCCAGATGAAGTTTGGAGAGGTCAAGGAGCGGGCTGTGCAACTTCCTGCCCCAGTTGCTCTGGGTGAAGCAACCCCGCTTTCTGTTCACTCGGCCGCCCGTCCTTCTCCAGCGTCCACCTCCCCCCTCAGACTGGCCCCTTCGCGGGCATACCTGGGCACAAGCTGGAATAGAAGCCCTCGTTCTTGAGCATGATCAGCAAGGAGCCCCAGCCCAGGAGCACGGCAGAGAAGAAGAGGTTCTCCACCACGGCGGTGCAGGCCATCCACCAGCGCCTCCGGTACGCCTGCTGCAGCGTGGGGGCCATGCTGGCCGCGAGCCTGCACAGGAACAGGGCGCTGAGCGAGGGCCCCCCCAGCGGCCCTTGGTACGACGGGTCCTGCATCCTGGTGGCTCCTGAGACCCCCTCCTCGAGCCAGCCCTTGACGGGGGGCCTTCATGGAGGCCCCATAGCTCCCTGGGCTTTGCAGAGGGTGCCGCTGCCGCGCTGGTTGTGGGCGCGCTGGCAGTGCCAGGGGCGCACGCGGCGCGGAGCTCCCGCCAGGCCCCTATCGGGGACGGGAAAGGTCCAGTCTGCGAGCCACCGCTTGCTGGCGCGCCGCCAGGCTCTGCCTGCCACCCTAGGAGAGGACGCGCTCCCAGGAGCCCAACCTGCAGGTCCCCGAGTCCCCCAAAGGTCAGCAGGGCCAGGGCGCGCTCCGAAGCCACCAGCGGCCAGCATCCGGCCTCCCGCGCCGGGAAGGACCCCCAGGAGCCAGCGGGAGCAGGAAGGGGAAGTCTGCAGCCGGCCTAAGACACCCCCCTTCCTGTTGCCCCAATAAGACCACTCCTCTCCGCTGGGGCTGGGCCACCGCTAGCCCTCCTCTGCTCCGTCCGCCACAGGCGACCTGCAGCGTGCCTCGGTCCCAGCCAGCAGCTGCCACGTGGACCGGGACCCAGCGCGGGCACACTTGGGACCCCGGCGCCCTGGGCGCCCCTCACGCACCCCTTAGGGCACGGAGCACCTCGGGGCCCGCCCCCCCAGCTCCGGGCCGGGGAGGGGGCTCGGGCCGCGGCAGGAAGTCCGGTGGCCGCTGACTTTATAAGGGCAGAGGCGGCTGCCGGGCAGGAGGACGGGCGGGCGGGCGGGTGTGTTTACCAGAGGGAGGGAAGGAGCCGGGGCTCTCCCCCCCCCCCCTCCCCTTCCCAGGCCGCTCGGCTGCCACCGCGGGAGGAGATGGGACTCGGGGCAGAGGACGGCCAGAGGATGAGACCATGGAAAGCGGCGAGGAGCGAGTGGGGCCGGTAGGGCAGGGGGGTGGGGAGCTGCTCCGGGGATCTCGTTCCCCTCCTCCCAGGAGTGGCACTTTGGATTCCCGCGCTCCTGCAGGTCTGTCCAGCCCCCAGAGAGCCGCTCTGCACAGAGGAAGTGCGGCCAGCTGGGCCCAGAGGAAGAGGGGGCGGGGGAAGGGAGCAGAGTAAAGGGGAGCGAGGGACGGACCCGCTGGAAGAGACGGGACAGGGCGCCCGGGGGACCCAAGGGATCGGGTAACGGGTTTTTCTTGGACAGCCTGGGAGTGTCGTGGCGGCAACCGGCCCGTACTCTCCGCGGACGACGAACGCGGGGCAGGGGACCCCGAACCCCACCAGCGGCTGGCTCACCTCGGGCGGGGGGCAGGTGCCCCTCCTGTGGCTGCGGACGCGGCTGGGGGCGCAGCGGCTCGGCGGCGCGCGCGCTCGCGGTGCCCGTGTCCCGCGGGCTCGGGGCGCTGGGCGCCGGGTCCCCGCGGTCCGACTGCGCCGGGGCTCGCCTCCCCGGCCCAATCGGAACAACTCCAGGAGCTGGGAAGCCCCCCTGGACGCCACTGGCCCACGAAGCGAGCGGGGGGAGAAGCGGACCTACAGGGTGGATACTTGTATTTATACCCCCTCCGCGGCTGCACCCTGAGGTAGGGGCGGGGGCTCCCTGCCCTTCCCCTCCCCCGAGGTCGAATTTCACGCGCACGTGACTGGCGCTCTGGTCCCCTGCACACGCCCCAGCACCTAAAATTTCCACCGACACCTCCTCCCCTCTTCCTCGTCCCCCCCAAGAGTCAAGATCCGTCCGGCAGCGCCCTCTCTATCCTGGGTCAAAACAACCAGAGATTTGGCTGCAGCCGACAGATCTCCACTCAGGGCCCGCTTGGGTGGGGTTTTTTTTTAACTGTGCAGCTGGGAGTCAAGTTTTTCAAGAGAGAGAATGACACAGGCTCCTTTGGAATCTGATGGAGATCTGAGTTTGGAAATGGACTGGCCTGGGTTGCCTTGGGCAACTTGCTTTCCCTCTCTGTTCCTTCTCTATAAATCTGAATGATGACATGGTAGTACCTGCCTATCTTTGGGGAAATGTCAGGTGGAATTGGGTTTACCCGCATGGTAGAAAGCTCACTCAGCACAGTGCTTGGTACCCAGGAAGCATAATAAATTTTCATGTAGAGCCTGGATTGTCGTGGTTGTGGTCATAATTTTTTTCAGAAGGCCCGATAATGGGATGCTTCCAGACACTTATTAACGGGTTGACCCCTAGTAAATGTCTCAACTTTCTTGGCCTGTTTCCTCACCTGTCAAAGTGAGGTGTCACATTGAAACCGGTTTGGCTCAGTGGATAGAGCGTCGGAGGAAGGTCCGGGGTTCGATTCCGGTCAAGGGAATGTACCTTGGTTGCGGGCACATCCCCAGTGGGGGGGGTGCAAGAGGCAGCTGATCGATGTTTCTCTCTCATCGATGTTTCTAGCTTTCTATCCCTCTCTCTTCCTCTCTGTAAAAACTCAATAAAATATTTTTTTTTAAAAGTGAGGTGTCACTACTTGGGCTGGGGTGTGGATTAATGAAATGGCAAAGGCAAATCGATAGGGAGGGGCAGAGTTGCAAGTAATATCGGTGATAGCCACCAAGTGCTGTGGGCATGTGAGCAGCTGCCCAGGAAGTTCCGAGAAGTCAGACAAGAGGGCATCTCCGGACAGCTGAGCTACCCAGCCAACAGAGGAACTAAGATTTGCTGAGTGGCTACTATACCCCGGGAACTTTCCAAACAAAAATTGTCAGTGAGTCCTGAAAACACCATGTTCTCGTTTAAACCTCACAACTTTCCGCAGATGGAGGCTGGCGCTGGCAGGTGGGGCGCTGTGGGTGCAGGCAGGATGCAAACTCAGACTGGTCTGGCTTTCATGTGGTCCTTCTCCCTCCTCCGAGTTAGGAGGACGGCAAGAGCAAAGGCCTCGTGACAGAGAGGGCACCAGGAGTTCTCTCTGGCAAGAGTGCAGGGTCAGGCTCTCATGTTTTCACTTCTTAAAATTCATTCCCGACTCCCAGAACTTCCAGGTCAAGGTCATGCTCCTTCACTTAGCACAAGGGGCCCTAGAATGAGGGCTCTAACCCAAGACGATCATGGATCCCATTTGAGAATGCAATAAAATACGGTGTCCACTCCCTAGGAAAACGCATGTGTGAGCCTAAGCCTACACACACATTTTTATTCATATTTCAAGGTTATTGTGGTCACTCCCCATGCTCCAAAGGTCTTTGGACACCACCCTCAACCCCTGCCTGAGGGCAAGGACCTGGTCGGTGGTGTTCCCTGCTGTATCTCCAGCATCTAGTACAGCACTTGGCATCTAAGAAGCGCTTGGTAAGCACCTGCGGAATGCAGTGTGAAGCCATCTGGTTTCACACCTCCTTGCCTTTGCACCTGTTCCTTGTGGGGATGACAGAGTCCTTTCTTAATTTCGAAGGTACCCATCCTTTACAACTCACCTCTCTCTGGAATCTGTTTGACCTCTTAGGCTGGCTTAGGGGCTGTTTCCCACATACTCCCTCCCTTCCCCCAATACCATTCTAATCTCTACGGAAGCCCTCACACTGAGCTAGAATCATCAGTTCACTTATCTGCCTCCCTCCTGGTGAGATAGGAATCAACATCATAGGTGGTTTGTAAACCTATCAGGGGACCTTGCATGTCACAAGCCCATGGTAAACACTTGCTGAATAAATAAAACGAAGTGGTGGGAAATGGAGCTGAAGAGGCAGGCTGACGTCAGTTTAGAATGACATGCACCAGGCCAAGGACTTCCAATGTTATGAGACAGGTGACCAGCAAATCTTGGATTATGTTTTCTTTTGCCTTTGTTTTTAAGGAAGGGGATAATACGGTCAGGTCTGTGTGTTAAATGAATGGAGGAGGAGACTCTGATCCCCTGGCACTGCCCATACTTCCAGGAGAACGGTGTTATCACACTGGATCTGTGGCTCTGGCTCAAAACTGCTTCACAGATGAGTGGACAGGAGAGCTGGCTCAGGAGTGACCAGGCAGGGTCCTCATCCCGGCTCGGCAGCTGATTAGTCCAGCAACTTGGCCCAGGGCACTTGCTTCCAGAGACCCACTCTTCCAGCCTGTTAAGTGCCAAACATAATAGTAAATCGGGCTCCTGAACCCAAGTCTACTGTTGGAGGGGGTGCCCCACACTAACAAACAATTCTCAGAAGCCAGCAGGGTGTCCAAGAATTCAACTCAATTCTCACATTATCTGCCTAGAGATAACATCAGGTTCCACAGGTGAATGGTTTAGTCTTACAAGACTGCCTGCACTCCAAACACACACACTTCGGAAGTGCCACCCGTAAGCCTGGCTCTCTGTGCTTCTGACCAACTGGCTTCAGACTGGCGGTTCCAATGACCGCCTGCGACTCAGAATGCCAATCGCAAGTCCAGGTTATCACCTGTGCTTCTGCCTGACTGGCTATGAATCAGAGGTCCCCCCTCCCCCGACCCCTCCTTGGGTTTGATTAATTTGCTGGAATGGTTCTAAGAATTTAGAGAAGTGTGCTACTTACTAGATCGCTAGTTTATTGTAAAAGGACACAACCCAGGAACAGCCAATGGAAGAGATGCGTAGAGTAAGGTATGAGCAAAGGGCATGGCAGATCCATGCCCTTTCCAGACCATTTCTTTCCCCCAAGTCTTCTCCTGAAACCCATCTTCTTGGGTTGGTATGGAGGCCTCATTACATAGAAATGACTAATTAAGTCACTGGACATGGACAATTGACTCCATCTCCAGCCCCTCTGTGCTTCTGACCAACTGGCTTCCCTGGGGTCATAGGTCAGAGAAGGAAAGAGGGTGGGACTGAAAAATGCCAATCCTCACTTAACTGGTTCTCCTGGCAACCAGCCCCCTTTGGTGCTTTTGAAATTCACCACATTGACATAACAGGAGACACCTGTATCATTCCCAACACGTAGGAAATCCCAGTGTCTTGGGGAGCTGTGAGTCAGAAACTGTGAAGACCAAACATAGATGAGAAATATATTTCGGTCACCTAAATGACCACACACATAGTTCTTACATGATCTCAAGTAGTAGCCAGTTTACTATGTAAGAAATTACCTATTCAGCCTAACAAATAGCTATTATGTATCTTTGCATGAGGAAGGTAAATAGAATGAATACACAGCTTTGGAAAAGTTTGGTAGTTCCTCAGATAGTTAAACATAGAGCTTCCATTCTGACCCAGCAAGTCCTCTCCTAGGTATATATCCGAGAGAGAATGACGGATGTACATCAACACAAAAACTTAGGCCCAAATACTCATAGCCGAGTAAGTCATAATAAACTTAAAGTGCAAGCAGCCCAATCACGCATCGACTGATGGATAAAAAATGTGTGCATGCTAATACACAGTACCAGTTGGCCATAAAAACGAGTGAGATACTGATACTTGTCACAAGAAAAATGAACCTGGAAAACATTATGCTGGGTGAAAGAAAAGCCAGACACACACACACGAAAAAACAACCATATATTTTATGATTGTACCACATGAAATGTCCAGAATAGGTAGGCATATCGAGCCAAAAGTAGACCAGTGGTTGCCAGGAACTGGGGGAAGGAAAAATGGAAAGTGACTGCTACTTGTTTTGGGGTTTCTTCTAGGGGCCATGAGCATGTTGTGCAATTGGATGGTGGTGATGGTTGTACAACTTTGTGAATATACTCAACTCGACTGAATTTTACACTTAGAGTGTCCATAATCCCCCCATCCAGTCGGAATGATCTACTAGAAACTCAGTGTTGATCAGGCTACTCCGTTTGGTCGCTTCCAGGGATGGTTGGGGAAATGTATATACAAACTCCCAACAACGCTTACCAGTATGTCCTGGGTTCACCTACTGCCCCCAGCCCCCTCTGGCCTCACTCCCTCTATGCTTTTACCTTGGTGACCTCTTCTTGCCCATTAACACCCCATGTTCTCTCCCCCCTGAAGTTCCCCCTGGGCATGGAACTTTCCCAGGCCCTGGCCTATCTAGTCAATCCAATTTCCACTTTCTGGTGACTTCCTTAGGGAAAGCTCCTTGCCTGACTCTAACAATATATCCCTTTGCTGCGTGACCTATGGTACATCCCAATTTTCCTTTGGTGAAACTCCTTGTAAGATGCCTGTTTCTGCTGATAAACTGTATTCCCAGGGGGCAGGGACCTGTACCTGTCCTCCCACAAATAACAGATCCCACCATCCATTGTGCCCCCTAGTTGACACATTCCTACCCACCCTTCAAATCTCACTCAAGCCCTGGCCAGTATAGCCCAGTTGTTTGGAGTGACATCCCCTGCACCAAGAGTTGCAGGTTTGATTCCCAGTCGGGGCATGTTGGCAGCTGATCAATGCTTCTCTCCACATCAATGTTTCTCTCTCTCCCTCTCCTTTCCTTTTGCTAAGATCAGTAAAAGCATATCCCTGGGGACTTTCAGGGCGACAGTCTTCTCCGAGCACCCAGACCTGGGGGCACATTCCTTTATGTAGCTTTATAACTTCCTATACATCCCTTATAGCTCTTAGCACAACTGTACAAGCCACTGATTTTACTGTCTCTCCTCCACAGACCTTCCATTTTGCTTGTTTCTCTTTGCCCCAGCACCT